GTTTCAGGGTATACTGGAGGGTTCTAGAGTTGGATTCTTCTTCACACTTTTGTAGAACACGTCTTATAATTTCCCTCGCTTCACTATGAATGGTTTGCCCTTTTTTACGACCGGTTGCCATTATATTAATCTAAGTTGGCCTAATACTTTTTAACCCACTGCTTAACAATCACTTAATAATTGATAATTTTACTAAATTAATTACTACCAGTAAGTTTTCTTTGTTAATACTCAACCAACCGCAAAACTTAACTCCACAACACAGTCCAATACACTGACAGTCGATAGAACATGATAGAATACAATACTCGCTTCCGGTCATAAAACATTGCTATAAAATACTTTACGACATTAAGAAACCGACTTTCGGTTTATCATCTTAAGGAATGTAAAATAAATAACTGCAAGCCATTAACCATTTTACAGGATGTTCGGAAAAACTGTCGATATTATAAGGTGTTATTTGAAAATAAGCAAAAAGTGTCCATAATTATATGTACTTAGCCTTATGGTTTTCTGTTTATAGGTATACCTGTATTTTTATGTTTTTACATAAAAATACTATATCTTAACATATCACCTATAAACTCAATTAATGGCTAACACCTAATAAGTCAAACTTTATCATTAAATTGGAATATACGATTTTACCATTTGGTGTACATTTTAATAAGTAAAAGCATAGTTATATCAAAATTAATTAGTCTACTACATAACAAAAACAATAATAATTATAAAACCCTCAGTAATTACATTGTGTGGTACTTGAATCAAATTCAAATTTAAATTCTAAAAAAATGTAAGCAAAACACAAAAATAACGTGAACAGCGCTGGTCGAATGTTTTTACGAAGCGTAGTCCGACCAATGCCACGGAAACTTTGGCTGCGGTGGGAGAATGGTACCGCTCTCCCCCCGCGCACCCGGCTCGCAAACAAGTCGTACGCTTACAGTATATTTAGAGTTTTCATCAAAACCCATCTTCAGCCTCTGGTAACACCATATCAGGTATATAAACTACTAGCTGTACCTGCGGGCTTTGCCCCGTTTAACTTTATAAGTGAGCTCGTTCGCATGGCTCAATCACGTCCTGGTTGAAGTTCGTTCGCTACGCTCACTCACTTTTAGGTTGGAGCTCGTTCGCTGCGCTCACTTGCCTTCAGATTAGCTCGTTCGCTACGCTAACTCGCCTCCAGGTTGAAGTTCGTTTGCTACGCTCACTCACCTTTTGGTTGCAAATTAGCTGTTGTCATAAATGTAAAAGAAATAATAGTGCTGCACCCTGTTGGTAATCCTTGTAACTTTAATGCTATTGAACATCATAGAACAGAACCATCTTGTTTAATTGAAACAGCTGTTAAGATTCATTAATCCCATTTAAATATGAGTACTCATAAGGTTAACATGGGAAACTCCAGAGCCACTGGGGCGGAGCCCGAGAGTCCGATCAGAATAAAAACAGCTTAGTTTTCCTATTTAATGCCTAAAGAATCAGTGTACCAAATTTCAGCCTCCTACGTAAATGGGAAGTAAGAGAATTAGTGATGAGTGAGTGAGTCAGTCAGTGAGTCAGTGAGGGCTTTGCCTTTTATATATATAGACTAGCTGTACCCGCGGGCTTTGCCCCGTTTAACTTCATACTTGAGCTCGTTCGCATGGCCCAATCACGTCCTGGTTGAAGTTCGTTCGCTACGCTCACTCACCTTTAGGTTGGAGCTCGTTCGCTGCGCTCACACGTCCTGGTTGAAGTTCGTTCGCTACGCTCACTCACCTTTACGGTTGGAGCTCGTTCGCTGCGCTCAATTGCCTTCAGGTTAGCTCGTTCGCTACGCTACCTCGCCTACGGGTTGAAGTTCGTTCGCTACGCTCACTCACCTTTTGGTTTCAAATTAGCTGTTGTCAAATATTTAAAAAAATAATAGTGCTGCACTCTGTTTGTAATCCTTGTAACTTTAATGCTATTGAATATCATAGAACAGAACCAACTTGTTTAATTGAAACAGCTGTTATGATTCATTAATTCCATTTAAATATGAGTACTCATTAGGTTAACATGGGAAACTCCAGAGCCACTGGGGCGGAGCCCGAGAGTCCGATCAGAATAAAAACCACTTAGTTTTCCTATTTAATGCCTAAAGAATCAGTGTACCAAATTTCAGCCTCCTAGGTAAGTGGGAAGTGGGAGAATTAGTGATGAGTGAGTGAGTGAGTCAGTCAGTCAGTCAGTCAGTCAGTCAGTCAGTGAGGGCTTTGCCTTTTATATATATAGATTATTTATAATGTTTGTTTATAAATTAACATTTGTTTGAATCATTTTAAAATTAAGTTAGTAAGGAAAATTTTTGTTCTATATGTATATATTATGTAGATGTCACAGTTAATTTATTATTGTTGTTCCAATATTAATTTTGTTCTCAACCTCTTCTCGAATCAAAGGTATAAACATGGGGCTGATTGTAGCACTACGTTGGGACATGCTTCTTTTATCAACCACCATGCAAGCAGCTTCTTTAAGATTTCTTAGTTTCCAGTCTGCTTCTTGGTAGTTGATTCAGTCCAATGTATTCTATGTTCTTCAGAGAAGACATGTTCACTTAGTTTGGAATAATTCTCCAAATGGTTACTAATGCTCTTCTGATGTTCTTTTAGTCTCTTCTCCATAGGTTTGTCCGTAATAACTTCTTCCACGTTCTCAGGGTATTTTATAAATAGCTTATTCCCTATATGGGAAAGTCGCTAACAATATTTTTTGTGTCTTGATCCTTGTTTTTATGCTTTACTCTGGTCAGAAAACTTCTCTATGTAGGTCCAGAAGAGAATACTGTTCTTATATTAAACTTTTTGTTCATTCTTCTTATTTGTTCAGACTTTCCCTTGACATACGGTATAGATATGGTACAATTAGGTCTTTCTTAATTTCTACTTAAATTATTTCTATTTAATAGATATTGTTGTTTTATTTAAGGCCCTAATTATAAAATCTAACGAAAAATTATTTCTTTTGAATTCTTCTTTGATTATTTCTATCTCTTTATTCCTTGCCTCTTTGTCTGATTTATGGCCACTTGCTCATGAAATTTTTTAAAATAACACTACACTTTGACTATAAAAAAAGTGGCACAAAGAGTAATTACTATTTAAGCAGCTACTGTCATGACAGAAAGGTCATGTTCCTTTTAAAATAGATCTCATCATCCTTTATAAGATACGTTGATTGTTAACATAACAATGCATGTAAACGTCACTATTAACGTAACAGCCAATTTACAGTACTTTCTTTTTGGAAATGCAGCAATGCTCAAAATGTTTATTATCCTATATATAATACGAGTAAAGTTTGAATAATTGTTACTTCGATCTGGGAATCGGCCCTAACAAAAACGTTTATATTTACGGAATAACTAAGTTCTGGGTCAAAAATAAGTTCTAGACCAGTGGTATAGCCAGGAAAAATCTATTTTCGCCATAATATGAGTACAAACTTTTGAAAATTTAACATGGGCCTTATGAGAAAACATTCCGCCATTGTTGTCATTTTGTTTACATTTTAAGACATAACTCGACGTCCTGTACCCACGGGCATCTCAGCTTACGCATGCGCAGAAAGCTCTTGAAGCACTTTCCGAGGTAAACTAACTGTTACTTCTGATGTGTATTAGCTTCTGAAATACAATTTTGTCAACTAACTTGAGACAAGAGAGAAAGAGAACGACTCGACTTTGCGTTCATTAAATCGTTTGATTTATAAGGATTTGTATTGCATTATAAAACTTTCCAGAGTAATGAGTTTCTAATCCATAAAAAAAAATCCATCCTTATATTATCCACAGCTTTATTAACTGTTTATTTAATACTTTTGCCAATATAAACGAGCTATATATCTTATTTTTTATATTTTTAATGGTTTTAATTATAATTATCATCACTAAATTACTCTTTTCCTTGGCTGCCGTGTCGTGTCGTTGTCAATAACGTCGTCTGATTCTGACTGATGTCAGATGGTACACTGAATCGGTCACGGTCACAGGGATAATAATTAATTGTAACATACCACTAGCTTACCCTACAATATAAAACTCATAAACTTGCCCATATAAAACTCATGTTAAACGCACAGTATCATGAGAATAGTGTATCTGCATCCTCTAATCTTCAGTACTGCACGTTTAACATGGGCAATTGGAGTTTTTGGTTAATTACTAGAAAACGACCAAAGATAGACGGTAGGTTTAAATTTAAAAGTTGTTTGTTTTTACAAGACCTTAAAAATTATACACAATTTTACATATGTTGCCGTTTAAAAATTTTAATTTACAAGGCTACCAACTTAAAAAAAAATTAAAATCATAAATAATATTTAGTTTTTAAAATGTTGACTTGTTGTATATCAAATTAAAGCTGAACCTACGAGGATTAAGAAATTTTAAACAGAACAAAAATAAGTTTAGTGGTACAGGGTATTCTGTAAGTATCAATATTTTCTATAAAAATGGCCACCAGTTCTGTTTTCACTAAATTGTTTGTCTAGTCTAGAGCTTTAAAATTATGCATAATATGACATATGTTTACCTTTGAAAACTCTGAGATTCGAACCCATGACCCCCAGTTTCTTGAACACCCTGTATTTTAAAAATGGTAAAAATTGTTTTACGTTGTTCCTTGGGTATGAATTAGTGGAGAAAAGTTTTGTTTCATCTCTGTATGTCAAGCCATTCGTCTGTAATCTGTTTAGGACAGCTTAGAAGATTCACCCTGTAGATAAAATTTATTTACATCAGGGATAAGCGCTTATTCATGCAGCAGTTTGCATTGGGCGAAACAGTGAAGAATCACCATATCTTCTCTGCATTCCGTGTGGTGAGGCAAGGGAAGAACAGCTAGTAGTTTTTAAAGTGACGTTCAAATCCTATAGTTCCTATGTCTGTAATATGTTGATTAGTAGCAATTAATAATGGTGTAAATAACAATTTGAAGTTCTAACTCAGTTGTATGAAAACACAGGGCATGTGGACATTGTCCAACCGTGAAGGCGGATTGTTTCAAGCCACAATGTGTGACTGCAGATGGTCAGGAACGGTCCATTCTCACTGTCAATAGAAAACTGCCTGGACCATCTATCCAGGTAAAAATATAATAAGTTAACCAACTATTCTCAAGCAAACAAATGTCTTTTTCCTACAAAGTTGGCTTCCTTGTAATGTTTATAATACAGAAAGCTGCTAATTGCTGCATATACTTTGTCGTACGGTTTATACTCTGGCGCACACCAGGATTCCAACCAAACAACACAAAAAGCGTGGTTTTATTATGCACGTAATCCGTGTACGCTTGGAAATAGGTTGGCAACACTTAACGATAATAATACTATGATCAGCTGATTGACTATTATAACTACAATTTAACCTGTCATTTCGTGTTTATAGTTTATGTCCTATTTTCGTTCAACGCTTGGTTTGAACACAACCTGAAGTGTAGTATTTGAAAGATGAATTATAAGTGGGCCTAACATCTTCAAAAATAATGAACTCAGTGAAAGTAATTGTGAATATAATAGTAGACCAGAAATAGCAGAAACTGAAAACATGTTTCATTTAACCTGTTAACTGAAAAATCAAGAAAGAAGTATGAACGAGCATACAAACTGTTTTCCTCTTGGCTTGTAAGTAAGAAAGTTACAAAACTGTCAGAAAATGTTTTATTACCATATTATGAAGAACAATCTACTTGTTTATTATGTGTTTATACGGTGTGTTTATATTATGTGTTTATACTGTTTATACCTGTACTCTTGAAAATAAGAAACACTTAAAGATACCGCTACTACAATCAGCTGGTATAGTATTTCCCATTCCGTTCATGGCCTGGGTTTAACCTAACCTAAAAACGTATTGTATAGTGTTTGAATGACTAATTATTTATATGCTTTATAGTGACTGTAGTAAAAATATAATGTGCAACACGAGTGCAAAAGGCCTTTGCTGCAATCGAGATCATTCCGCACTCGCCTGCGGCTTTTGCGTAAGCATTGCTCACTAGTTACACAAATAACTATTACAACAACCTTTTAAGTAAAAAAGCATTATCACACAGAAAAAAAATTCTCTTATAGGTTATGTCATGAAAATCCATACCGGTATTACTGATTTGAGATATTTTAGAGAAGGCGAGAATGAGTCCAAGGGCTTTTAAACACCAAGAAAGGTTACATAACAATTAACAACAATAACATGGATATTTTTTTCTCTCTCCAAAGTCTTTGTAATTCGTTAATTTTAAATCTCTACACCATAGAGAAAGATTAACTTTCCTCAATAAGGTTACAATTATCAATAAATAAATAGCCTATTTAAAATCCATTTTTATAAGCCTTTGTCTCTTGTTTTAACATCTGACTGTGGATTAACATTCAACTGATGGATCAGCTGTTAAATTACAATTAACATTTAAACCGTTATAAAGAAAGACGGTCAGAATCACACTAGGGAGGGGGGGGGGGCAAAGCACTAAAGTTTATTACCTTTTCTGTCATCATTCGTCACTCTGCTAGATCATAGGTTTTAAAATGACACCTCAATCGTAAAAATCAGTTAAGTAGATGGGTAGACGGCTGGGAAAGATGGGATATTTCAGAGAAAACCCAAGAAAATCAAGAAAAATATAGATACAACAGGTTGATGTTAAAAGTTAAAAAAAAAACTTTTGCCACCATAAAACATTCACTAAATATTTAAAATGACATAATCTCTTAGTACCTATATTGTAATGCCAAAAGGTATATTACAATTGAAATATGTTTCAAGATCAACAAACTGCACAATCATAATGTGTGGTTTTGTAAAATTTTTATTCAATTTTGTCTCAAATTTTGAAGGTGTGGTTTTGTAAAATTTTTATTCAATTTTGTCTCAAATTTTGAAGGTGTGGTTTTGTAAAATTTTTATTCAATTTTGTCTCAAATTTTGAAGGCTAAGAACTTTTTTTGTTCAATCAAAGGATTTATGCTCCTAAGATATCCGAACTATGATTTAGTCTACTGCCACCTGTAAACTTGAACAAATAAACGGTTGACAGGTGTGCCAACAAGATGTGGTGATAGTGGATGTTATCAACCAGATGCCAGGTAGCAGCACCACCATCCACTGGCACGGACTGCGGCAGAGAGACACCCCGTGGATGGACGGAGTGCCGATGGTCACACAGTGTCCTATACTGGAGGGTCAGACATTCCGGTACCGCTTTGTTGCGGAGGAGTCTGGCACTTACCTATGGCACTCTCATTCAGGTTGGTCTAGAAGACTGATTGACATGACTAAACTTTTTTCCCAATGGTGGGGTGAGGGTGAGAGGGTACAACAGAAACTAAATATGGGTAGGACATTCCTCAGGCTTACAACCAGTGATTTGCCAACAATATTTATGGCGGGTAATGATAACTGTGTTTCCTTACTCACAGGAGACAATGATAATGTTTTTTTTTATGGTGGGAAATGATCACGGTTTACTCATAACAAAACACATCTTTTTCAAACTTAACTGCATTTCCCGCCAATCTGAACATTTTGTTAATGTGCTAAGGGTCTGGTCCCAATAAGTTTGGATTGGTAAGATAACTTTGCATGGATTTAATCAAATTTCTGTTAATGAATCTGATCCAGAACATTTTCTATAATTTATTTATCACTAAATTAAACATTTTCTTAGTAAATGTTTAAAGCTGAATAGCTTCACACTGTGCAGGGCTCCAGAAGGTGGATGGAGTGATTGGTGGTTTGATCATACGTGAACCAGACTCTTCCAATCTGCTGCGCCACTTGTATGACCGAGACCTCCCGTCACATGTGGTGGTGGTACAGGACTGGATGCACTCCCCAGCTGGCGACAGACTACCAGGAATGTTGAGAATGGAGAGAGGACAGATCCCAGACTCCTACCTCATTAATGGCCGTGGAGTGCAGACTGTGAGTTAGGCTTGTCCACCCCTTGTAACACTCTTGTTAGTACTTTCTGGAGAATGATTGATTTAAGACTGATCTTTTTTAATCCTGAGACAAGTCAGTTGACGTTTTGATTGTTTAAAATGGGTTTCAGCTGTCTTTAAAGAAATTGAAATTTAATAAATGGTCTTGAATGAAAATCAAGTTATTCTTAGTGACAAAGTTCTTGCTCAATTTGGCCATCAATCAACTGTGACTTTAACTAAGGCGTGACACTATTACACATAATGCATTTATATCATATGATCTAATGAAGACTCAACTGGGTAAAATCATAGTCTAACCAACACAAGTAGACTTCTCATCCCATTGTCAATTTTGAAGCACGTTTTTCACTAGTTCATGTACAGTGACACTGGGCGCTAGTGTTGACAGAATTTTGTTTCTATTATTTTAGGGTTAATTTCTTGATTTGCGCTTTACTGTTTGGTTATATAACTAGGCCACAAGTTATCATTTATGATTAGATCGTATTATTTGGTTAAACGAGGTTTTAAATGGCTGTAATAACGGGAAACAAATTGTAAACAAAACACAACCTCTACATAAACCGTACAGAACTAACATTAAAATTTTCTTCAGCTGTTCCATAAGGGTGAGAAATCTACTAAGGGAGTATGTTTTATCTATGGTAAAATATAATCCTTCAGCTGAAACAACACAGTTTCAGATAAAACCTTTTAACACTCATCGTCTATATCTAGGGAATGTGATAATTTGTGAATGTGTTAGCTCAAAGATGTGAAAAGAAGAATCTAGTTCTATTTGCAATCCAATGTTTGCATTAAGTGGAATTAGTTCATGCAACAGTGTAGGCATAAGATAAATCAATGACAATGTTGGTTTGGTTCATAAGTAACTGTTAATTTACTAAAATGCTTATTAATTTTTAAAAAAGTAAACCGAGCTTTATAAAATAGTACATTTCACTACTATAGTGGAACCTCGATAACAAATCATCCTTGATAACAAATGTCAAATCCCCTTGAATTTATTTTACCCCTATTCGCAAATCTCAATAAGAAGTACACCTTGATGACAAGTCTTATTTAACAATCCCTACAAGAGTCTTGTTATTGAGGTTCTACTGTACGCCCAAAAGTGACTATCGAGCCCCAGAATGGATCGTTCAACAGGAGTAGTGAACTATACTTTACATTTGTAAATAATCACACAAAGCGTCTTGGTTTTAAATAATAATCAAATCATTTTCAACAGTTTTCTTTAAAGTTGTTATAGGTCTTACAATTAATTTAAATGTCAGCTCTTGAACAATATTTCTTGTAATAAAAGAATAAATACATAGTTCCTGTTGAGCTTAACAGTAACTTTCTTTTGAAAATTTAAAAGATTGTTTAAGAAAAAAAAATTTGGCTGAAAATATTGTTTTAGGCAGGCAAAATCATATGATTTGATAGATTGGAAATCGATGATTTTCGTATAGTTCACCTTTACGGAAATGAGCTAATTTGGTATACAGAGTGGTTAAAAAATGTGCAAGTTGTGATCAGTCGGACACTCTGTGGACAAACTTAAAATTAAATATAGATGAAGTGTAGAAAATGTTAGATGACTTCAGTCTTACAACTGAGATTAACTTGATAACTATATAATGGTGATTAGGGGTAATCAGTGTTAATCAGGACTTAGTGAATATATGTTTGATGTGGATGATTATGATATGAATGCATATGAGCCTACTGCTTTTATTAAGGAAAATGTAAATTTAAATAATTGTAAGTTAATTTTATCAGATCAAATTATAATAGACTTGTTGACAATCTTCTTTAGTAACAGGTCTATTAATTTACTCATATTACAATTTGTACACCACTTAAAGCTATCTACACAAGGCACTGCTGGTATAGTGTTTGAAACACCATACTTCGGTTCTGGAGAGTTGCTGGGTTCAAACCACACCAATCACTGATGGTGATATCAATGACAATTTGCTATAATACAATGCTTTGACTGGTGTTTAGGAGCCCACCTGTAGGAAATTGTAAAACACATAGGCCTATTCAGCAAGGAGAACTCTCTCTGTACATAAGATCCTCCTTCAAGAAAACCCATACATAATTGTAATATATGTGCACAATGATTCAGACAGCAATAAAAGTGAGTTTTCAAAGTAATATAACTCTTACTGGAATGTTTTACAAATGTTTGATAATGTATTCTAGAAGTCCTTGAGAGAGTTCTTTAGTCCGTTCAGCACCCCTTGGTCAGAGTTTGGGGTTTTGCAAGGTCTCCGTTTCCGCTTCCGTTTCATCGGAGCCTCGTGTCTCTCTTGTCCATTCAGAGTGAGCATTCAGAGTCATCAGTTACTCGTCATCACCACTGATGACAACCCGATACAACCTGTCCTCGTTGACTCCCTAGTCATATCATCAGGTAACTTCACAGCCAGAATTATGTAAAATCTATGAAAATTTGTTATTTGTAATTTTTGGAGAAAGAATATCAGTTTTTTTAGAGGGTTGATTATGAGAATGGCTTAAAAAAACTAAACTAAACATAACGAATAGGTATGCAAGGCAATTTCTTGGTAAATTTTGTGAAGAAAAATATTTTTTGATTGGTTTTTTTATTTGAAGAATTGGATATATAGCCAGTTTAGGGCTCTTTTAGGCCCTAATAGACTTAACCAAATACATGATAATAATTTATTTTGTTGGCTAAAATTTTAATATGCCACTGGTTTTCTTAAAAATGTCAATTTTTAAACCACAATTGATACAACATAGATGGATAATCATGTTTTATTTTTAATTGCTTGATTACATTTTATTGCAAAACTATTGACTCTAAACGGTGAAATTGCTTCAATTTTTTTTTTGTAAAATATGATTGAAGATTGGCAACATTGTTGAACCTTAGCTTATATTACTCAACAATTTACTGTCTATAGCAGTCCTTTACTAAAGCAAAAGATTAGTGCTATGTTGTGTGACATTATTTATGGTGTATTTATAAGCCCACAGTCTGTGATTTTGTCAGATAAGTTAGCCAAACTCCACACCTCTTAGAAAAATACTCCAGATTCAGTCAAATTGCTTTTCCATTTAATACAGTTGCCACTCAATAATCCCGACACTTAATAATCCGATATTTGATAGTCTGGCACAGTGCTAAATGAGTGTCAGAAATGGTTGTGAAATGTATGTACAGTTCTTTAAATCGGAATCCATCTCTTAATTAATTAATTTGAGCCCCTTATAGACCAATAGTACATGATAAGGCATCCTAAATTTGACTTTATTTGCTCATTGGTTAGTTTTAGTTTAGTATTACTTGTGGTTGTGGTAATCAGTGTCGTAAGTGTGGGATATTTGCAGGAGAGAGATACGACGTAGTGATAGATGCGTCCCAGCCTATAGATCCATACTGGATCCTGGTGGAAGGGCTGGGAGAGTGTAGCCGAGCTAGACAAGTAGGAGTGTTGCTCTACCACGGCTCAGCTACTAGTCAGCCTGCCTTGCCTCCATGGTCCGTACTGCTCGGGTTCGGACTGGACCCTGGATATGTAAGGCATCTGTCCCCTTTTAATGAAGAAATAGTTTCTTGAGTTTGTGTTTTTTAGTGGGACCGAAGAAAATATAAAATCTCTAATAAGTAAACAAATTCTTTTGCTGTAAGGTCTGTGACGCTTAGCGCCACTATTTTATATAGTGCCACTCAACAAAATCGCCTGCCCTTCCGATCAGCACACCCCTTTCGGTCTGTCGCTTACCTTTTTCCTAGAAACGGTCAAGGAGCTACGGAACGGATATTTCCTCCGTCTTGTCTGTCGCCGGCCTTCGTTGGATATTCTGATCATCCGTTCTCAGCTCGACATGCCCTCGCAGGATAAGTCTATAATTATTAAGTAATGCTAAGATTAGGATGACAGGCTAGATAAACAATATAAGGGGAAGCCGGCAGGCTTTCGCCCCATTCGCAGAAATGTAATTCCAAAATATATGATTACCTCGCTTAACGAGGTAATCATTCCTAGACATGCAATAATAGTCACCACGTTGAAGCTTTAAATATTAATTCATTCAGGAATCGCCTTATGAGTCCAAATTGGTTCAGTAACGAGTTAGGGAACGAAATTGACCTGTTTTATCATCATTTCCATTTTACACTATTTAGCAGTTTAGTTTGGAAGGTTAGCTACAGTTCTGTTTCTAGTTAAATTATAAGTAATCAAAGCTGGCTTGGCCTGCTTCTGGTTTGGGTAAAGATTTCCGCCCTCTGGTTCCCCAACAACGTTTCCAATTAAATCGTCATTTTAAGATGGTAGTAGAGGACAGCACGTTCTTAATTGCAACATGCTAGGGTCCACCAGGCCCTAGCACCCACAACAGCCAATTACCAACACATTTCACTTAATTACAATCAATACATCACATCACAACAGAATTCTTAACCAGTTTTCACCCAATTATCTCTCCTTAGGGCCGCAGGTCTTTAGAACTTGGCTTGAGTATTCCTCTTTAGACCAGTGGCGGCTAGCCCATAAGGACTCTCGGACGCCGCCCTCCCAACAATACATAGATAAATTAAATTTGAATATTCTTCAGTTAAATTAAATTAAATTAAAATTACTTTAAGGAGTACTTTAAACAATATACAACATAAATATATCAAACATTGGATAATTTAATTCATTAAAGACTTATTTTTGATCGTTGCTTACTTAGTAAGAACGGTGCGGACGGCGGCCAGACCGTCCCAATCCCAATACATGCAATCTTATGGCAGAATAACCGAACAGGGCTGACGGTGCCATGACGTCATTCTAATTCTTTAGTATGGGCGCTTTGGGGAAGAGTCCAAAGTTGCATGCACACTCTTGAATCAACAGATGATAGGTAGAACTGATGTTGGCGTTGGCGCACCTGTTTGTCATAACTCAAACCATCTAATTTCTAAAACTAGAAAACAACTGAGCTAACCTAACCTGAAAATGTTAATTTGGGATTGGTGTTGTTGTTAAGTGATTAATGAATAGTGATGTAGGAGTACTGTTTGTGCGTGTATTTAAGTAAAATACTAACTGTATACTGTATTAAATTTATTTCACATCCAGTTTAGTTAAAGGTGGGCCCTGTATTTCCGGTTAATTAATACTATTGAAGTACAATAGGTTTTTAAGTTACTGGTATAAGTTTGAATGCAATTTTTTTTCGTAAGCTGTTTTACTTATTTGGCTTTCTATTCCTTATGACCTTAATTATTCTATGGAATATTATCATTATTTTATTAATGTTATTTTCAGGACAGACCCATTTGCAGACATTGTTATTAATTAAATACAATAGCAGCCCTGGAAACAAGTTTAAATAAATACTAGAGGTCCCATGCTGCTCCGCAGTGTTAAAATAATTATTAAATCCGAGAAATAATCAAATTTATAATTTTTGATTGAGTAATACAGTATCTTGAGCTTAACTGATTCAAACGATCAATAGCTCAAATTAAATCCTATAATTTACTGATTATTTTGTGTCTAAAATATATAGAAAAAAAGGAACAATACTGGAGCCATTGATTTTTAACCATATTAAAACCTTATGAAAAATAACTTTTATATTGGTTATTCACCTTGATACTCGTCCGATTTGAATAACTAATAGCTTAAATCAAAGACAGTATTTAACTGAAGGTTCTTAGACTAAAATATATAGGATTATAAATCTATAACTGGTAAAGGTATATCTTAATTTGAAGTAAGAGTTATAAAATAAATCAAATTATGTGTTCTGGTCGTGTAATACTGTAGGTAAATATTTGTAGATGATTGATGGCAAATCTGTACGTGCATACCTTCAATTCGAGACCTAAACCATGAAAATCGGTCGGGTAGAAGAGCCCAACGAACTCGGCAAAGAAAAACCAAATTTAACTCCCATAAGAAATACATGGGGAGCAAATTTAGTTTACGCATAAACCGAGTAATACTATAGATAATTATATGTCGATGCTTGATGGCAAATCTGTACGTGCATACCTTCAATTTGAGACCTCAATCATGAAAATCGGTCAGGTAGAAGAGCCAAACGAACTCGGAAAAGAAAAACCAATTTTTTAAAATATATATTGTTTTTTATTATTTATTTTTTGTTATTGTTTTTTTTTTTTTGTATATATTGTAGGCTAGGCCCATGTGTGTTTGTATTACAAATTTAAGCTTTAAATTTTCTACTTAATTCTTTGACAAAAGTGAATGATGTTAGGCTTTCGTTTATATATAAAAATATGCAGAGCCCTCCCACCACCTATGAACCAAGACTAAACAAATACATTGATCAAACAGCCAGTAAAACATTGATTTAGAGGAAAAAGGCCATAGTTTTATTATTATTATTATAATATCTATAATAACCCTTTTAATGGCAAGCTTTTTATTGGGAAAAATATTGCCCGTGCTGGAATCTATATATATAATTCTGTAAGACAAAATGTTTACCAGAAAATTGTGGATGTCTGGTAAGTCGCAGAAAAGTGGGAGAGGTCTTAAATTAAAGGTCTTGACCCCAGGGACTCGGGAAAAATAGCAGAATTCCCATAAAGTTACCAGAAAACGAGATATAACGTAAAATATCCACCATAAGAAATGCATGGGGACTGAAAAACGTCTGCAGTCTATCAGCTGTTACTTATTTATTTGCAATGTTGGCATTTATTCCGAAAGTCAATGTTGGTAAATAATGTTCCAAAATGAATTGTATTTGTTTAATTTTTTTGTTTTCCGTTTTTATAATGAGTGAAGTAACTAGACAGGTTAGGGGAAGACCTGCAAGACGTGGAAGAGTGTCCAGGAATTCAACAGATTTAAGAAATGCTGAAAGAGAATGTCATGTAGGGCCTAACTGTGAAAGAAATCCAGAAGCTGTTTTACAACCTGTCTTTAGTAGAACGCTGGAAAATGAGTTGAGTGTTGTTACTCACAATCTAGGTCCTCTTAACAGCACTTGCATGTATTGTGGCGCATTTCACTTCGCAGAGGAGGCCACAAATGGACATTTCAACGCATGTTGCCACAATGGACATGCCACAACCACAAGTAAATGACGAACTAAAAGAACCGTTTTTACATAATTCGAACTTCATAAAAAACATAAGACAATACAACAGTGCAATGGCTTTTGCGTTGCGGAAAGCAACGCAAATTATGAAAATTGGTTTAAAATTAAGGTACAAATTCATAGATATATTTCTGAGTTACTACCGCGAAATGGGTAGTTAATAATTAATAATAATTTTAACCTTTACATTTGGTTCTCAAAATGGAAACTATAGCAGAATTCGTAAGATTACAAAACAAATCTTCAAATTTAAACTAGAAAAGATGTGCTGTATGATTTCAGCTCTGATTCGTCGTTCTCCAGGCTCAGGCCAAACCGTGTGCACGTTTCCATTTGTTAATATGTTTTTATATATGGTTTTTTATTTTAGTCTAAATTAGGGGCTATGGCCCCTACAGGCCATATACGTATATATATAAACTAGTATGTATATAAATTTATAGTCAGTGTGTAAAGATCATTGTATGTACTGTATGATAGATTACCCACCAACATATTCTAATTTTTTTTTTAATTTCAGGCAGAAATTACAATTTGTGCAAATTTCAAATGATTTTTAGATTATCTTCTTTGTTCTTGACGCTTTAAATTTAAAACTTTGATCAATTTTATCTTAGAGAACAAAATAGTAATAATATTAGCACTTGAGTACATCTATACATATTATTTATCTGGATCTTCTTGACCTATACAGTAGAACGTCAATAATTCTGACGTCAAAAATCCGGACGGTCAATAATATGGATTTGTCTCTAGCAAGATATAAAATTCTGTTCTATGGATAACAGAGAACCACGGGTAGTCAAACATGTTATACAAATAATTTATGACAGGCTCATAAAAACGTTGCAATGCTGCATAAATATAGACATTGATGTAGGCTAATCATTTGGATTTTTTACGTCAATTAAATTCAATACTGTATTGGGCAATCATGATATTTTCGATTCATTAACTTTGGTTTTGTTTTAAATCACACCTCCTCAAAATCAACAAAAAAATTTATAATCACTGTACAGCAATAAATCATGTAAAGAAAAAAAGAAAGTCTAGTAAGCTACTGCTAGAGATAGGCTCAGAACAGAGGAATCTCGGTTAATAATATGGTAATCACCTATCATTGATGTTCCCGTAGTTGGAAACAAATTATATTGGAGACAGTAAAACATTAGATAAATCATTAAAAGTAAATAAAATATAGTCCTTAAAATATTAACAACACTTTTTTGTAAAAATAAATGTTTGTTTCCCATTTTAATCTTATAGAGGGATACAAAACTTTAGAGGGCCCTAGGGCCCCACTCTCTAAGAATTTCCCTAAAAATAAAGTTTCCTGCACAACTTCATGTTACGCTCTTTTCAATGACACCAAAAGCATGTCAATCGGTTCAGTAGTTTCGGAGGCACAAAAAACCTGCTTGCGTATTAAATAAGTATAGATTTATATGTATATATATAAAACAATGACATAAAATCAAAATGTTTTTCTTTCTCTTCATCCACACATTCAACAAGCTGCTAGAGTGTTGCTTAGCAATCACAGGCAGCTAAAACGTTATGTCGTCATCATCTAATGTGACATAGCGCACAGCGGACGATATCTAAGGAGGAGACGGTTGAGAGCGCAAGCGTAACATTACCTTGGAGCTGTCTTATAACTTGAGTAATTTTTGACCGATTTTGATGAAATTTGGTTTGAAGTTGTAAGGCTGGATAAACTTTAATGAGTTCGCGAACCATCATGATCGGACCATGGGAACGGAGTTTTATGGGGTAAAAATTTGTTTTTCTAATTTTTGACCCTCTAAACAAAAAATTTCCCAATTTCTCTTCAGACCTTTTTAAAGAGCTTAAAAAAACAAATAATTTAGTATATCAACTTTTAATGTACAATTATCTGTTACGGAGAAAATTAAAAAAATTGTTATTTTCAAATTCCCATGTTATTCTTATAGAGAATATTGTAAAATGTTGTAGTTTGCTTGTTGTTGATCAAACTTGGTAAATTTATTTATTTTGTACTAAGCTATTTTAGGCTACTACAAAATACACTTTTTTACCCTCCCTGTAGCAGCAAGCCTATGTACTCATAAAACCTAATATTAATTAAATACATATAATTGAAAATCAATTCAGGCAACTGGAAATTCGCTTAGTCGGCAGGTTTGCTGCGGCGGGGGTATTTTAAGGTAGTTTTGATATTCCGGATGATTTGATCCGAATCGGATCCGGTCCCAATCCATCCAGATTATTGACGTTCTTCTGTACCTCATTGAGTGCCAATTTAGAGTGATTCATTTGTTTCCAACTCTTAACTTGTCTACTATTTAATCAGATATTGTAATCACAAGAGGTGAATCCATGAAATATTCTTTTTTTCCTTCTAGACATTGAACCCTCGCAACACGCTGTGTACGGATCCGTCACTTTTTCGGGGAGTTTGTGTCAGTCAGCTGCGTAATTTGGTGCCCAATCCACCTCGTGTCAGTGGGCGACCAGACTTCCGCATCTTCATGCCTTTTGGATTCCATGTTTTTAACAAACACGAACTTTACAAGAACAACAAGTTTAACAGGTTTTTTAGTAAGTAAAAATTAATTAAAATAAACTATATGCACTTTCACATATTTAATCAATTTCTTTTAAAGAGGTTAGCGGCCTTTTAACCTTGAATTTGCCCGTCCACATAGACTACAGATCTGTGCGTGGAACGTACACGGCAAAGCAAGGGGTGAGCCGGTACAGTACAAAGGTGAACTATACTGATAACATTTTTGCGGCAGTGACTAGGATCCGAACCCACGACATCGCTGCCTTGGACCCAAAGTCCGTGACGCTACCAACTGAGCCACCGACCCACCAAAATTTACATTGTTTTTCCAAGTTTTGGTTGTTAAAGTTAAACTTACATAGGTACATTTACAAATTTACATACATTTCAAAGTACCTTTCAAGGAATAAAGAAAACAAGAGCACCTTTGATGATGAAAATGTCAACCGGAATAAAGTGTTTAATGGTGAGGTTGAGGTAGTATTTTAACTAATTTTAACCATTGTGGAAAGTAAATTTCAATTATAGGCCTACCTTACGGCTATGAATCATAGATCTGTAAAGATTTTTTTAGTTTAATCATTGGATATAACATATGGAACATGATCCGGTTGACATTTAATTCAAAAGCATTTGTTTTGGTTTGAAACTGTCACATACTATATTTGATTTGCGAAGGTTTATATATAATAGCTTTGCCTTTGCCAGCATATTTGAAAATAAGCAAACCAACTGCTGTTCTTAATATAAGAAGGTTTCAACTGACTACTATAGGATCCCCGTGCATAGAACGGGCACACAGCTAGTCTAAACTGAAAACTAACTCACTCTGAAAACAAAGGATCTTGTGTGTATCATGTGTAATCTATGAACAGCTATAATTAATACAAAGTATTCGTCTGTTTAAGGAAACAAAATCTTTTAATAATAAGAAATACATTGGGATTTTGATGGCCTGTGGGGCAAACTCCGAGGACTTTTAAAACAGGAATTGGTGAATGGTCTACACAAAAAAAAAAAATTAATTTTGACACATCGTTTGTAAAAATCCGTCCATTATTAACGGAGGAGTAGTGTTTCGTAGAAATCGCCTCACGTATTACATACTAGGATGTTGTAATGGTATTGAATATTCATTAGTTTAAAAAAAAATCAAATATTTTAGATAAAGAATCAAATTTAACCCTCCGAGTGTCCATAGTTTAGGCCTTAATGTCCACCTATTTTTGGCGCATTTGCAAGGTTTTATTAAAACGGATCTGAGAAGCTTAAAACAATGTTAATTCTAATGTTCTATATACCATTTTGTTTGGAAAATCATGGGCTTCAATATTATATATAAAACATAAGGAACATTTAAAAAAAAAAAAAAAAATTTTAGGTAAAAAAAAAATATAATTTTGAAAATTTTCAAAAAAAAAATAAGTTCGCGCTCAATGAAATTGTATAAATTATAGGCCTATAAATATTTGAAAATAGCCACTTTGTTTCTAAATTTTATGAGGATTACAAATATATAATAATATAAGGAAGTAGATTTGCAAATAAATAAGTTATGGGCAAAAAACTGATTTCAGTATATAGCGTTTAGCTAAGAATGCATAGCCTAACCATAGCTAGGAATCTGGCTGATAATTTACATCAATATCACTACCTACTTCTTCAGGATCATCAACCAGCACTTCAAAACCACTTAAATCTTCTTATAATGCACCACGTATATCACTACTTTTGATTTTTAACACTAAAAAAATGATAAACGTAATAAAACACATCAGTCATCGGTCCGGGGGAACCTAGCTGTTTACAAATACACGCACGTCAGCTGTCTGCTACAATATTTTCGGAACTAAAATGAATAGCGCTTAGAGACAGACCTCTGGAGAAAGCTTAGAATATTACGGAAAGAACGATACCTAACTCGATCCAGTTCAATCCGATTCAGTCAGTCATAGAGCCTTCGCCGTAAACGATGTTTGTGCGTCTTAAACTCGACGCGTGACCCTACACAAAGTGTGTTGTGCGTCTATTTTTTGACGTGTGACCCTCGGAGGGATAGAACAGTAAATATAAAATCGAAATACTTGTTCATCCATTTGAGGTGTAATCCATACAACAATTCACCATAGAACATTCTGTTGTTTTTCACTGTGCCACAATTTCATTCCAGTTCAAAATTGTTCTGCAGGTATATATACAAATATAATATATTTTAAGCAGAATTGAAGATACCAGTTTATTCTATGGCATGAGCTCACACTTTAATTTACAAACACAATCTGTAATAGATTAAAAATAAAAACAAAATATAACTCTTTATAATGATTAATTTCGTTTTCCCCCTTGAGTATAACATTAAAAACATTGAATTTGTCAACATTTAGAAATCTATAGTTTATACCTTGAGTTGGAGCTCTTCCACTGACTAGTAGGCCTACTCATGAGTAGCTCTCAAAAGCTAGCTTGTTTGTCAAGTATACAAGTTAGTCGTTTCCTCTTGTGTGTCCAATATATCACACAGCTCAAAGGCTTGAGAGAATCAACAAACTCAATGTGTCAAGTGGAGGTGAATATTTAGTTGGTAAAATGATTTATTGCAATTTCCAAACTGAAAGCATCTCTTGTATTCCTCTTGAAGTTTTTTTTTAATTTGTTTAATTATTTATTTTGTTGTTATTTAATTCATTTTTTTCCAATTTGTTTGTTTCAGTTCCGTCCACCTTCGCCCACGTAATTGCAACAATGAACAACGTAAGCAATGTTCTGCCATCTTCTCCTCTCCTCACACAGTTTCAAGATATTCCCCCCTCCCAATTCTGCCACCAGTCTAACTGTAATCCACTGCACGTTTGTCAGTGTACCAACCTTATAAAAGTACCGTTGGGATCCATAGTCGAGTTTATACTTCTGGATACAAGTGAGTATTAGTTTAAGCAAATTTTCCATAAAGGGAATAAGCTACCATAGGTCTCATGGTAAGACCTGGAACCGGGACTTATTATTTATATTCTTATTTATACTATGTGATTGTGTATGTATGAGCACAATAACGTGACTAAAAATTATACAATTTCAAAAGAGTTTACACACTCATCTTACCTCGCTGAATTTTGTTCACTTGCGTTACACGTGGATTTGGGCTAAAATTACAGTCATCTATATATAACTAACTACAGTAGTTATATATAACTGATTACGGTATATGTGGCAGGCCACAATAGAGTAAACACGTCTGAACCAGCGAGACTGACAAACAGATTTGCACAAGTATTCTCAACTACCTAACATTCCACGGGCGTTGCACGTAAAACTTGTCACGGGGAATTGCGGCTTATGGGACTGTGGGAGTGATCACACTCCTCCTTATCTTACTGATTTTTTCCAAGGAGTTCCTAGTTTTTACCTGACTCCCTGACTGTTTTACTGTGTAGTGAGTTTGGAAGGGGACGGGGTAGTGCGGATCATGGACACGGATGATTTGTATTGCTAGTGTGGCATTCTCTACTAGTCTCACTGGTTAGCCCCGGCGCGGCGACGCTTGTCGTGGCAACAGACGCTTCATTCATACGACACATTTTTTTGTTCATTTTTCCATTGATTTACATTTAATACAATTTTACACATAAACATTTGAAATTTGAATACCGTAACAAAAATAGAAACTCTGAAACTTTAACAATAATAAAATTTTTGCTTTGAGGTCGGTATTTGAGAAATTAAAAATTGTTGTCAACTGACATCTTGCATCATAAACCAAGACTGCATCAATCCATCAACAATTTGAATGGTGAAAACGATCACGCTTTACACACCATGGGAATCCCAGCATTCAGCGCTGAGTTGATGTCAACAGTCAGTTCAATGACCGTAGTGCAGTCGACAGTCAGCTGTTGCCGATGGAGTGGGCAGGGGTGGGGGACATTGTTGTGGTGAACGGCCCGATGTCTGCCTGTCTGTGCGGGTAGGTTCTACTCTCGCCCCACCACAGCTGGAACATGACCTCTGTTGGCCAGCCTTCATGTCGCTCACAGTGGTTACATAATATGACTCAGTTGATTCATTGTTCCTCAAAATATGTAATTATGAAGTTTGCAAAACAATATTGACCTCAGTTTGATTCTATTTACTCAAAAATTGAAACTATTGCACATATAAATATAAATATAAATATAATCTCTGTACGAATATGACACAAATAAATAAACAAGTAAACAAACACAGAAATATCAATGTGGATCAATGTGGATAATCACCTTAAAGATAACAACTGATACCCTCATCAATGCCAACCTGCCATGGTAGTAATGCCAATCTGCTTCCTTAACCAGATCTCTCAATTTGCAGTGCTATCACTTTTTGTAAAGAAAAAAAATAAGAAATAATAATCTTTACTTAATATTTACTCATTCTCATCAAATACAAAATTAATTCACACCTCTATGTAATATAATTTAGATATTCCATAAAGGTGTGAAAATAACAAAAAGTTGCCCCCTGGTGGGGTTTAAATGAATTTAATTTATATTTAATTATTGAACTCATGAGGACACATAATTACAGAGCTGCGCAGTGGAATTAAAGATGTTAAGTGTGGGCCCTGTAATTAAATACCCCAGAAGTCCATTAAGGGGGGGATCGAGAGAGATCTGATTAGTGTCCTCCTTCACACCTTCTTCAGCTTAATTCTAACACTTCTTAAAAACTAATAGATGTGTTTATTTGAACACTCTATGAATTGAAATGTCTGTTCAGATGAAAGATTGTGATATGAATTGATTTCTCTGTAAAACTGTAAAATTGCAAATAATAACATATTGAAATATTGATTGAAAATATTTATGAAACTGTTTGTCCAGAAAATATTTATCAAAGTATGACTTCAAGATGTTAATATATACACTTGATTCGGTTAAGCCGATTACTCATGAATTCACCAATTTAATATTAAAAATATAAATATGAACTTGTAAAACTTGATTGGTAAAAAATATTCATTTATAAAAAATGAGATCATCAATATTATTTGTGTATGCTTTGTATACTTCTTTCAGATAAGCCAATTACCTCTTAAATTATACCAGTTTGATATTAATAATACTAGCTGAAACACAGGCAAATAAAAAGATGGTGATTTGTAAAAATACTGTATAATAAACCAGAATTGAGCTGTGACATAAATTGAACATATCTGATACTATTGCCTATTGTACACAACGTTTAATATTTTGAGAAAGAGAGTGAGAGAGTTGATTGTCAATTTAAAGTTCAAATTGGCGGTTTTTTTAAATCTAAAATACAAAGTCTCGGGAAACCCTAGCCTTGACAACTTTATTTGTTTATTTTAGGTCATCAGACTCCCCAAAGATGTTATTATTATTATCAACTGGCCAGTTTACAAATTTAATCAAACAGGGACTATTATGTAGGTTTGTGATCTACATCACTCCTTGCTGATAAATGCAACGGGGCCAATCGACTACTGAATCGATTACTTGATAATTTTATTTAATAATGACTCTTTATGAAGTTAATGGGAGTCTATCCTCATGACCCTTTATCAAACCCTAGCCTTCGACCGAGCACTCTGTTCCCCCATTTACGTTACACAATCAAACTCTCACTATTGAAAAATGTAATACTCTGTTCAATAAATTATTCCCATACATGAAAATACAAAACGTTGTAAATAATAATACTGGTGATGATAGAGTTTGACCTTTACATAGAACACAAAGTAATAGTAATTTCACAGACAATCATTGCTCTTAAAATTAATAGACCATTTCAATTCAATTTAATAAATAATTATCAATTGACTAGAATTACTAATATGACAACCTCTTTGCATAATCATGACAAATTTAATAAAACATTTTTATCCTGAATTTGTGACCATGTGCTCTAAGCAGACCAAGTGAAACATGAACTTTTCAAACCAAACAAGACATGATCCCTAACTTGTAAAACGAGTGGTACATGTGAAAAAATGGCAGATTGGCAGGACTATATTAATACTAAAACACAAATAACACAAAACATTTACTTACGTACACATGTCGACGACACATTTACATTCACACTGACAAAAGATTCACATTTAAAACTGACTCGTGGTGATTTGTGACTTTGTCTGACCGAGCGGAATATCACGTCACGGTTTTTTCTAGTGTAGGACTTATTAATTCTTGTTTTTTCGAGCTGGCGTTTAATGATTCAATTAAAAATACCGTCACGACGATCTACGATTCGCTAGAAACTGACATTTGCTATCGATATGATGCATGTACAAATTTTCATCACGAACGCGAACAATCAATCCGGCATCTCAACTGTCTGGACATAATACTAATAAAATCACACCCCCAATTGCAGTTCGGCGAAATTTTGACAATTGCGATCATTTGATGCACGTATAATTTCCGCCTGAACGCAAATTTCCGAGCTACGAATGAAGATATTAATAAAATCGTCCTACAACAGCGACAAACACGACCTTGGATGTTGATTGTGCAAGCACTGGACCACGAGTGACGGCGAGACGATTGCACACGGCACGGTTCGAGTCCTTTTTCCAGTTCATATTCCTCCGCGTTACGTCATGTTTGACTGACGTGGTTCTTTGCCTGGCGCGGATTTTAAATCTTTGCATTTAAAATCGGCACAACGGTCAAACTGTTCCATGTGCGACGCACGTGAAAACGGAAAAATCAAACTCGCTGGTTACAAGTGTAGGCCCGGTCTAACAGGCAATACATTTTTTAGGTATCCAAATACAAATAAATAGTTTTTATCATAATACCTTTCTTGCAGCTCTTACATTTAAGTTTTATATCATTAAAACCCTCTGATTTAAGAATACCCTTAGCGGAAAATAAATACTTAAAAATAAATTGAACATATTTGATTTACAACAAGAAATGTGTTTATATTTTTTTAACACAAAGTTTTTATTCAAACTCCAAAAATCATTTCTGGATGGAGTGAAGGGCAAAAATAATGTAGGCCTGGCATAAACTACAAAATAACGGCAATTTTTCAGTGAGTAGCCTAGCAGTGTTTGCTGCAAAAAATTTCTTTTTATATCTATCAATACCTAGAATACAAGAAAACTTGGCGTATTGGTATTGACAAACACACAAGACCCTAAAAGTTATGTGTTTGGATTGTTTTAAAACAAAAGGTAAACAAAGTTGTTTTGCATCTCACACTATGTCACATTTTGGCTGATTGGAGGGGTGGGGATGCGCGTGCACACACCTTCTTTTATACGCCTTGACTAAATAAAACCTAGGCACTGCAATCCTGGATAAAGAATTAAATGGTCAACACAATCAAATTCCTTGCTGCAATCAGTGATCTGAGCAAGACTTTAAAACAGGATCTTTTAAAATGCTGATTAAATCATCCTCAAGTGATACAACTGCACTTGTAGTACTCTTTCTTACCCATCTGATAGCCAAATTGTGAAACACAGATTAGGCTTGTGTCAGGCTGAACTCATTCCCAAGGGAAAAAGGCTGCTACTCTTACACAAATCATGAAAACCTAATTCTTTAAAAAATTGTGTACTCGGAAGTAAAAATATGTTTTATGTTTGAAACGTTTGAATGTGTAGGATTACAAAACTAGTGTAAATCTAATGCTAAACAAAGAACTGAGTACAATTAACAGCAGGTATGTTATTGAAGGAAGAGGCTTATCAGCACTCATCTATCCAGCAAAGCAAGGGGTGTGCTGGTACAGTTCGGCCAAAACTTCTGTGCACGTGGACGGGTCGCTACTAGCCGAACTAAAACATACGGGTACTGGCTATTGGCAGTGCTGGGGGTAGGGGTGAGTGAGTAGCTGGCCACAAATGTTTTCACAAAAGTACCCCCGCCAACCCCCTCACCTAGATCCAACCAGATCTGGTCGCGTGCACAGAAACTTTGGCCAAACTGTACAGTACAACAAACGTGAACTGTAGTGATAAAATGTTTGCAGTCGTGACTAGTATCCGAACCCACGACATCGCTACCTTGGGCACGAAGTCCGTGATGCTAACGACTGAGCCACCGACTCACCTAAATAATTTACTTGCTAAATTGATGATAGGGAATATTTCCTGAACTAGTTGATGCAATTAATTATAAATTTGACAAATCATAAATGACTAACTAATCATTTGCAGACCCTCCTACCCCAGTAGGACTTTCTCATCCATTCCACATCCACGGACATGACTTCTACATTCTGGAGCAAGGCAAGCTGGTAGTTCCTGTAGTGGAGTTTCTCCTGGACCTGGACCTGAGGCTTTCTAAGTCTGGTCGCCGCATCAGCAACTTCCTGCCCGCCAAGGATACAGTTACAGTCCCGGAGACTGGATACGCTATTGTCAGAATAGTGGCGGACAATCCAGGTATCCAGGATATTTAAATTGCCCATATTTTCATGTCCCACCTTTACATCCTAGGACAAGGCGCTAGCTCGGAACCGTTTTACACATTACTTCAGAATGCTAGGCCTAGAGGGTTGTTGCAATATCACTTAGATAAAATCCATTTATGATTGGTAGGATTTGAACCCAAGACCTCAAGGATCTAAGTCCCATGGACAAATTTTAGAAGTAGGGCGATTTTTTAAGGTGCGATTTTCGGAAAACGCTTTGGAGCGTTTTGAAGAAAATTTAATTCCTGCCCATGAAAATTCTTTCAAATTTTTGCTAACTCTTACCGTGTAACGACCCAAAATCTGCCAAGGGGTAAAAACCCGATTTTTAAAGAGTTTCATCTTAAGTATTATAATTTGCTACGTTCGGGGTAAGCCGCGCCCGCGTTGTCAGCGGCATCGTAGGGGCAAGGGTCCTACGTCATCGCAGAGGGGAGGGCGTTAGTTACCTACCCCGCCGCCAGGGGCGATGGCGAAGAAGGACCAGAAGAGCAGACCTCATGGTCAGTTGTCCACCCGATACCGAACCGTCAGTACGCCAGCTGTTTGGAGATAAATCCAACAGTCCTAACTTACGAAATTCTGGTCAATTAAAGATTTCCCCCGTTCCTGGTATTAAGGCATCAGGTTAGTGTGCTACCGAGTTTATTTTGTTTATTCTCATTTTTGCAGAAGTTTTATTATTTTTATTTTACTGTGCCGCAGTCGTGCGCAACCCGCACGCTTTGTCACGTTCGAGCACACTGCTTTTTGTTTTAAACCAGCTGTGGAAATCATTTAAGTTTGCAGAACGATATCCGTAGTCGATACCCCGAACCGTCCTACGTAAATTTGATTCAAGAAACCCCGTATCGACTCTGGTGATCGACCGAGTCTAATTTTCCCGACACGTTTACTTTGGTGATTACCAAGTATAACGAACGAAACACGTTTAGGTTAAGTTTCCAATTAATTAGGCTTAATCGCATTCATCATAGGTTATTCAAAATTCTAAATTTAGCTTCACATATTTTTCGAGTGGCTATGATGAGCACTTGTTGAAGGTAAGCTTAACATTGTAAGCAATGTTACAATTAACTTGTTCATGTATTAATGTTGTAATTAATATTCTGAGCCAATAAACTCGAAACGATAATTAATTAATGAACACGTTAGAGTCCTGGACTATCTCATAGTAGACTAAGTTATCTGGACAAATTTAAGGTGTGACGGAATTTCAGGTGAGACGACAATTACGTACTTTAAAATCTAATTTTGTCTCTCAACCCGAAATTTCGTCATAACCGTTTTTGAGCTACAGCGATTTGAAAAAAATGTGTTTTCTTAAAAAGGGGGCAAAAAAGTCAAATTTTGAAATGCCATAACTTTTGATAGGATTAACGTAGAGATCTCTAGTTTGTGCCATCCTTTTTCTTTTTTCATGCCCTCACATTTGATATGTCAAAAGGGGTACCTACCTTGCAATTTAAACATTTTAAGTTAAGGGTTGGGGGAGAAAGGGGGTGAATGGGAACTTCACATTAAATTCACAACAATTGTGGCCCCAACTTCACATTAAATTCACAACAATTGTGGCCCCTACGTCAATAGACGATTCCCACAAACTGCATATTTCTATCTATTGCAGTTTTTACATAAATAAAGAAGCAAGTTAAAAAAAAAACACCCTGTATATTCATGTTTACCTTTAGATTTGTTAAAAAAACAGAAGTATGTGTGTGGTAGTAGAAAGAGGCTATCAAAATATATACACATTATGCATGTTAAAAGCCGTTTCTTAAACATCTCTTGCTTAGTGCTGGGGTTTTCAAAACTTTCTTTCACTGTAGTAATTATGCTTTTTATATTTTAAAAGCAATCGTCCATAAAGTGCAAAAATGGTTTGAGTGTCTTTATCTAAACAATGAACAATATTCAAATTCATTGTAGTAGCCCCGGAACTGTAATAATGATTAATAATGGTTTTTTATTACCTGTTGTCAGTTCCAAATTTTTATCTTCTGTAGATGCTACATGTTTCGGCGATGTAACGGTCGTGTAACGGCAATGTTTCGTTCCCATGATAGGCCTATCCAACTAAATGTATTATTTATTTATGTGTCGTGTGTTAAGTGTCATGTGTGTAAACCAAAAACGAAGCTATACAAGCGGATTTTTTAATGTACATTCCTGGACTGTATGCTTGACAATGGCATCTCGCCGAAACATGTAGCATCTACGGAAGCTAAAATTTGTGTAAAGTTCTTAAACCTTTGTTTAGTAAATAAATAATAAATAAATGTCCAGGGTTTACAATGATGAATACAAATAAAACTTGTATTAGTCAAATTGTACAAATAAGTAGGGTTATAAATTTAGATGAAACTCTTAATCTCAGGGTTCTAGGAATGTGCCGGCTTAAAGTAGGCTTATGTGATGTTGGATAGGCATAAGCCTAATGTTCATCACAAGTTATGTACAGTTCAATTTACACTTTTGAATAGAAGAAAGTTCAAATTTTGAATTTAGTAAAATTATAATTTAGGTAAAAGTTCAAAACGGCAAAAGCCAATAGAAATTTTGGAATAAGACATAAGACATAAGACATAAGACATAAGATATTTATTGCCGTTGATCATTTTTACATGAGATGGGCATGGTCAACATAAATATATACAGTCAATAACATCAAATAATATCAATAATATCGATAATAATCATCAATAATATCTAAATATATTTAAATTAAAACTAAAGAGTTGCAACTCCAGCCTAGTACCCAAACAACAGCTTCATAAACATTAAATTAATAAAATTGGCAAACCTCATCCAAACAAACAAAAGTTAATGCTTATCATTAATTTGAAAACTTAAAATATATTATCTATGTTGGTGGCCATAAACTCATTAATAGTAAAGAATGGATTGTCTAGAAGCCATTGATACATCTTGGTTTTGAAGCCTTTAAGAGGAGTGGTGTGAGCATTATCGGGAAGCTTATTAAAAAATTTAACACAATTTACCATGTAAGAATTTCCAAACTTTGTTAACCTATGTTGCGGGATTTCAAGTTTGTTTTTATTCCTGGTATTGTGATTGTGTACCTCACGTCTAATAAAAAAAGAATTTAGATTTGTTTTTGTGAATATTAATACATGATAAATATACAAGTTAATAATTGTAGGAATCTTCAATTGTTTGAAAAGACATCTACTATGATCTCCAGGCCTGGCTTGACAAATGGTTCTAATTAATTTTTTTTGAAGAATCAGGGCATCTGAGACATTTGCAGAGTGTCCCCAAAGTATGAGACCATAAGCAATATGAGACTGAAAGAGTCTGAAATAGGCAGTCCTCAGATAGTCAGTAGAGATTATGGAGCTCAGTTTCCAAAACAAACAATTGACCCTTGAGAGTTTTTTACACAAATTTACTACATGGTCATTCCATGTGAGCTTTGAGTCTATGTGAATTCCCAGCAGTTTTACAGATTGATTTAGATCGATGATTGATTTTGATTGATAGTTTTGATTTTGTGAAAGACTGAGCAAAATATTCTGAGTTTTAGTCTCATTACACAGCAGTTTGTTAGCTGAGAACCATTCTTGTGCTTGGTTTTGAGCTGAGGTTATTCTGGCCTCCAAGAGGTCAAGGTTTTTATTACAAGTAAAAAACGTGGAATCATCTGCATAGATAATAGAATTTACACCTACATTTTTGGGAAGATCATTTATTATTACAATAAAGAGAAATGGTCCGAGAACTGAGCCCTGCGGCACTCCCAAGGAGACATCACACAATGATGAGTGAGCACCCATAATATTTACATATTGCTTACGGTTCATTAAGTATGATTCAATTAATTTCAAGGAGTCGCCAGAAACACCATAAAAGTTAAGTTTAGTAAGGATATTGATAGGCGGTACACAATCAAATGCCTTAGTTAAATCTAATAGGGATAGGAAGGCTGATTCTTTATTTTCAAAATGTGAGTATTTAGCAAAGTACAAGTTCAGTTTGATCTCACCCAAAAGTTTATGGTAGTCTTCTCCACAAATATATTTCTTGAGGTAAAAATGATATGTATTAAATAATTGAGAAAAATCTTGATATTTTAAATACTGTAAAGTTAAATCACCAATTAAAAGTTTTAAATAATCTTCCTGTCTTGCTTCTTCATTACTTATTCTCAATTGAAAAATCTTGATTCTTGATGTTCAATTTCATACATCTGTTTCAACAATAAGTTCACTGGTTTCTTGATGTCACTATTCACTGTTACTTTTATGATTGGTTAGTATTATATGAAGAGTATTTTAATTACATTTTTGAAAGTGAAAGAGAAAAATAATTTTGTAAAATAATTCAAACTGTATAAATAACTTCCAGTGATTATAAATTTAGCTTATTAAATAAATGACGGTGTTTGATGAGAATGTGAAATATGGAAATTTACAATAGGTGGAACCTTTTGCCCTTTTACTGCATGTAAACACATGTGATAATTTAGAGGTATTAATTTAGCTAAAAGTAGGCCTAGATACTTGGATACATAACACATGGTTTATTAACATTCAACTTATATACAAATTCAAAAGTAAACAATGGGGATAATTTTGGAACATCTCAAACAGAAAAGAGGGGAAATATCCCCTCAGAAATCTGGTATTTGAGTATCCAATACTAGATTTCGAATAATGTGAACAAAATTATCATAGAAAACATTAATATTGGAATAAGAAAATACTTAAAATTAAAAATACTTAAAATTAACAAGTTGTATCTTCTGAATAAGAGAAAACATAGTAATGAACAAGGTGAAACAAAGAAAAGTTGATTCTGGGCCTTTGGTTCATCAGTGCTTCCTAGTTTAAAACCTGATGATTTGGATTTATATAATTGGTAGTTCCGGTAGTAGGGTTGCTTTTGTCTATAATTGCAGAACATACTTGGGACTGTTCTTGAGACGGGTACTGACGTTCTTCACGGTGTGGTGGGTTGGTGTTGTTGTTTGGTCTCTGGGAGTTGTAGTTTCCTCTTCCTCTGGAATTATAATCTTTCCTGTAGATGTTCTGTTGTCCACTGCTGTAGTTCTGTGGTTGACTTTATCCCCTCGAAGACTGGTTGTAAGAGCCATGGTTGTACTGCTGGTTCGGGCGAGGTGGGCTGTTTGGCTGTCTGTTCGGCTGGTAGTGGTTACGATTACCCTGTTGGTTACTGTAATTGTGAGTACGTGGGTGTGATGGTTCATAGCGGTTGGACTTTGAAGTCATGGTCCGTTGGTGAGCGTCTTTGAGGTCCTCTCGTTGTAATAGCAGCTCAAACTCGTGTACCGTGGTGACATTCTGGACTCGTCTGGCATCTTGTACTAATTCCGAAAAATGGTCGGACAGGATTACAACGATTTCTTCATCGGTCAAAGGAGGTGTTATCGATCTTAGTGTCAAGACCTTTTCTATAAAATATTCGGCTCTTGATAGTCTGCCATCCTGTCGATACTTTTCAACATCGATTCTTTGCTTGATACCACGTTGAACCTCGTGACTCCAAAATTTGTTCAAAAACATTGCCTCGAAATCGGTCCAATTTTTTATTTGATATTTGACCAACTCAAACCATTTAGATGCGTGGTGGTCAAGACATTGTTCAATTACATCCAATAAATGTTCAGACTCATCGTTTGATTTCTGATTGTCAACATTCCGTTCGTAAAAACGTTTAAGCTTACTCAAAAATTCTTTTGGATTTTGTGTCTTTCCGTGAAATTTAGGTGGGTTAATGTCTAGATAATTTCTGTTAGTTCCCGGACAAGTAACATAAAGAGGCGTTATTGTACTAGTTGATTTGGAAATCTGTTGTTCCATGTTATTAATTCGATAACTATGGTTGTCTGTTATTGAATTTAGTTTGACCAAGTTCTCGTTCTGTCCTTCGATTTTAGTAACTAAATCGTCATTTTGTTGTTTTAGGTTACTTTGGCATATATTTATCTGTTGTTGCAATTTAGAATCAAAATTTCGGGTTAGGTTATTGCTCAAAGTAGCAATATTTTGATCAATAGTGATCTGATTAGTCTCAATTTTAGTATTTAATTCATTACGGATTTCTTGAGATTTAATTTCGATCTTTTTGTCAACATTCATTTCAATAGTATTTATTTTGAGTGAGTGTTCAGATAAGGTATTGTGGATAGCTTCAATTTCAGACTTTACGGTTTGAACATCTGATTTGAGATTAGTTATGTCGTGTGAGATAGCATTTACATTATTTTCTATGGATTTAATATCCTTTTGAAGGTCATCTCGCATCAAACTAATATTTTGGTTGAGTTCATTTTTGAGATCATTTAAGCGTATATCACTGTCTTGTTTGATTGTGTTCATATTTTGATTTACTAGATTTATGTCTTGTTTCAGTTCACGAAACAAATATGTAATTTGTGTTAGGATGTTGGAATCATTAGTGTTGCCGATCGGCTGGTGTGACTCATTCATTGGATTGGTCAGTGAGCCAGTTTTGTTTGGTTCATTCAACTGCAGATCAGCTGTTTCGTCGTTCTGGTCGCTTGGAGTAGTACACATTTTGTCAAGTGACGTCACACTGCCTTTTTCTGTCTGAAGGTCCAGATCCGCCATCTTGATCTTAGGATTAGAACCTACACTGTCATTAACCTCAACAACGTCTGTTTCTAATGGATTTCTATCGCTTTCCAGTCCATGAAAAAGAATTGATTCTGGGATTTCTCCAAATAAAATATGATGATAATTGTTACTTGTTTCAACATTATTTGTAGTGTCTATAGTTACTAGTGTATTTGAATGTGTTTCGTTGGTTAGAGTTGCTTGACTAGAATGTACGGTGTTGCTTACGGCATCTTGGTTGCTAGTATCATTGTTGGTTGTAGTAGACCTATTTCTTAAATTATATGCTTTATCTTCCATAATATCGTATAATAGTGATCAATAATAATAGTTCAATATATGGATGAGGTGTTGTGAATGATATCTGGTTATGGATGTGCACACAAGGTTAGTTATTCTTATGCTTAGAATTTAGGTTGTCATAACTTAGGCCTATTACATCGAGATAGGTTTGGAAGTTATTTTGTATTGGATAATATCACATAAGCTACTTTTTTGCCACACGTTGCAGGCGCCAATGTAAAGTTCTTAAACCTTTGTTTAGTAAATAAATAATAAATAAATGTCCAGGGTTTACAATGATGAATACAAATAAACCTTTTATTAGTCAAATTGTACAAATAAGTAGGGTTATAAATTTAGATGAAACTCTTAATCTCAGGGTTCTAGGAATGTGCCGGCTTAAAGTAGGCTTATGTGATGTTGGATAGGCATAAGCCTAATGTTCATCACAAGTTATGTACAGTTCAATTTACACTTTTGAATAGAAGAAAGTTCAAATTTTGAATTTAGTAAAATTATAATTTAGGTAAAAGTTCAAAACGGCAAAAGCCAATAGAAATTTTGGAATGTGAGTATTTAGCAAAGTACAAGTTCAGTTTGATCTCACCCAAAAGTTTATGGTAGTCTTCTCCACAAATATATTTCTTGAGGTAAAAATGATATGTATTAAATAATTGAGAAAAATCTTGATATTTTAAATACTGTAAAGTTAAATCACCAATTAAAAGTTTTAAATAATCTTCCTGTCTTGCTTCTTCATTACTTATTCTCAATTGAAAAATCTTGATTCTTGATGTTCAATTTCATACATCTGTTTCAACAATTAGTTCACTGGTTTCTTGATGTCACTATTCACTGTTACTTTTATGATTGGTTAGTATTATATGAAGAGTATTTTAATTACATTTTTGAAAGTGAAAGAGAAAAATAATTTTGTAAAATAATTCAAACTGTATAAATAACTTCCAGTGATTATAAATTTAGCTTATTAAATAAATGACAGTGTTTGATGAGAATGTGAAATATGGAAATTTACAATAGGTGGAACCTTTTGCCCTTTTACTGCATGTAAACACATGTGATAATTTAGAGGTATTAATTTAGCTAATAGTAGGCCTAGATACTTGGATACATAACACATGGTTTATTAACATTCAACTTATATACAAATTCAAAAGTAAACAATGGGGATAATTTTGGAACATCTCATTTGGAACTGACGACAGGTAATAAAAAACCATTATTAGTCAATGAACAATAGTTATTCATTATAAAATCTAGGTCTTTGGGTGATGACTGCGTTGTTATATAAGCTAAACTAGAGGCCAACGTTGTGGATGAGTAACAATTATCCATCTTCGGGGCATAGGCCTCCCACTATTCAACAGTTGGCAAAAACGCCAGCCTCTAGTTAAGCTTATTCAACAACACGGTTATCAGCCAAAAACTTAGATTTGCAATCCACTGTGACCCTGTAAGTCTATCATCTAGATTAATAGTTATTCATGTTATTTCAATTACTGCGATAATTTTTCATCACTGATTAGTGAAACAGAAGTTTTATATTGTTTTGCATCCTGAAAACTGATATGTCGCTCCCTGAAGACAAAAACAGATTCAAGATCCTAAATAATGTTAAATTTCTGTATTGCTAATCAGAGAAGGAAAATGTTTTCAGTCATTGCAGAGTATCCTTGGTTGCAGGAATGTGGCTCTTCCATTGTCACTTCGCCTATCACCTGGAGACGGGAATGGCTGCTATCATCCAAGTGGGAGAACTCTCCGACTTCCCACCAACTCCGACTGGATTTCCCAAGTGTCAGGAGTTTGTGCCTCCCATCTTAGACTTTTGATAGTAAAATTGTTTTTCTGAAACCCCTTTTTCAAGAAAATCTCACTTACATTTCAATAATGCTCTGTGGAGTTTTTTGAGGATAATGTTAAATTATGTTCAACGTTAGTCATTTCATTTCCTACAAGTATTACTGCTGGAAAATCTATTGCTTCAGCAAAACAAAATATAATGAACAAAAATATCAATAGAGATGTATTAAAAAAAAAAAAAAAAAAAAAACTTCATGAATATATTTAATTTTCTTACACTACCTACTTATTTTGAATGTTGGCAGGTGCTTATAAGAAAACTGTTTGTTCCTATAGGAGGTTGATTGTAATTAGTATTAAACAGTAGTCAAATTGAGTTTAAACAAGCAAGAGTAGAGCATTCAAGCGGGAAATAAATAAATAATTAGGGGTTTTAAAAGAAAGTGTATAGTTTCAACATAGGTTAAGTGTACATAACTTTTGTACAAAATATTTATTTATTTAAATTTAATGCACGAAGAATAAAATGTCAATTTATAGTTAATCTGTGTATTATTCAGTAATATAATAACCCTATTAATAAGATCTACATTTGATAGACTTATTATCATACTTTAGACACAAATATATTACATTGAGAGATGTCAAGATATCGTTGCAATCCTGGGTGGCGGTAATGATGTCTTGGCGACCGCAGGCGAATAATAAGACATTGCTGAGGTCACTATCATGACAACTTTATGATCCAGGCTATTTTTCGCTATTTTTCACCACACTTTACCCTATTACCACTATTCACCACTATAATAATGCACACTGATAGTCAACTCAACTACAACTTTAAGGTTATGTGAAGAAATAATTTGAGGAATCAGCTAAAATAAAAATAAATTGTTGCTAGGCAACGGTGACAATAACACAATTCTATTGCAACGCTATGGGTTTTATCTGTGTATTTAAAATGCATTCATGTTTTAAGTAAGTAAGCCGACAGCTGATTTTGCGGCCCCGGCCTGTAAAAACCTGCTCGGTCCCCAAATTACGATGACAGCTGGCATGGCCAGCAAAATGTAACTTTCAGCCACCAATTAACGTATGTAATACAGCCAAAAACATCATAGTGTGGTGAAAACACTTTAATACGAGTTTGTTTGGTCCAACAGTATAAACTATTGCGTCCCTCAATTTGAAGGCATTCAAATATCGGCCGTCATGTACAATAATAATATTAATACAATTTTTGCTTTAAACATGCCGACTTTCTATGTTTTAAATGTTAAAGACACCATGTTTTGTAGTATTCAAACCACTAAAGCGTACATAAGCAGACTTAAAACTCAATAGTGTATCATACGGTTGGAAATCTCATAATAACAGTTTTTATCACATTTGGCAACCTTCTAATATACAGAGTGTATAGAAATTCAGTGGACCAATGTGTTTTAAATGTTTATCATAAACATTAATTTTTAATGTTGTATCTATTTACAATGGAGTGTTTACTATTGATCCTCCATCGTTGTCTATAATTCTTAAACAAAAGTTTAAAATAAAACATGAAAATTACATTAATTAGCCTACTCATATTTTCTGGGCGTCCACAATTTCCTGGTAAAAATTTGGTCTTACAGAATTATATATAAGGATCTTATTTTCTTATGTTAAAATTGATGTTCTTCTGTATAATGTCATGTTTAGCAATATAACGTTCCATTACGAATAATTGTATAATCTTAATATTACAGTAACTCTTTTAATGATTTCTTATTGCATTATGTTATATCTATTGTACTGGTTGGTGTCTGCCTTTTTGACTACTTTTGACTAGATGATATCTTTGGTATTCTTGGGACTATTTCTTCTTCAAACTTATCACTTATGGTTGTTCCTTCGATGTTTTTTATAGTCAGTCTGGTTCCGTTGCACAGCTTGGGTGGACCTAAGTTTCACATTAGTATTATTGGCATTCCTTCTTTTAGTGACAGTATGTGGTCGGTTTATGACAAATTGCGAGGCATTTGTATATCTGAGATAGCACGCACAATTATTTTTCACGATTTATGTTACATTGTGTGTCTATAGAACAAAGAATAGCAATATTAAAGAATTACCATCCCTTTCATTGATTATAATACTGTGATTATAAACATACCAAACTTAACACTAACTTGGCTTTTGGAGTCAATAGGTTAACATACATACATAAATAAATACATACCTCCTCTATCAATCTATATAAATAAAATTAGAGTTTTGTCTGTACATTGCTCAGAATTATATATTTTTAGGTTATTTTTATGTTTTATACATTAAAGAAGCAGGAACGAGTCTTATGTCTATTTCTGTCTGTCTGTCTGTCTATCTGTCTTTCTGTCTTTCTGTCTGTCTGTAACACTCAAGATGGCATTTTACGCAATCTTCTTCAGGAAAACGACGGTACTTATCAAGATACAAGTAATTTTAATGTATTCACTGGATTGGCGAGAATGTCTTTAACCATTAAAATATGGCCTCACTACTTTGTAAATAAAATTACGGACGTTCATAAATGCAGTTTTGTGTGATTTTTGTCAAGTTTTCGTCCAATTTTTATCACATAATCATCTATGACATAACAAACAGCTGTTCAGATCAAGATTATTTTTTCTAGCTGTCACTGATATGTTTACAAATGTTGTTTACAAATACCGCAACCATTTTCGATCACATTTTGAAAGCTAATCCCAACCAAGTGAGATTAAAAAATAAAAACGTTTTTCTTACATAACAGATTTAATTAATCGCAAGTGCAATTATATAGTGTAATAATAGAGGAACCGTAAATGAAATTAAATAACTAGGCATCATCCAGGTCAGGAACGAGAGATTCTTTGTGTTTAAAATTGTTCTTGAGTTTTGATAACCAGAAAGAAGACCTTGAATCAGTGTTGTATATGGCTCTGGAAAACTTAAATTTAATAATGATTGTCGCCAATAGCTTAGAAACAAGGTTTCCACTCATTGACGGCGCTTCAATGGTGGTTCTGTAAAGTGTAAAGTAAAAAAATCACAACTGCAGTGGGTGATTGTACAGAGGTTTACGGATCATGCTAAACTCGCTTTTCCAATGTGTCACTTTCTGTTCCTACCATTGACTATACCTATATAGTCAATAGTTCCTACTCATCGTGTGATGCAATCACTGGACCATACAGCCAATAGGCCCATAGCCCATCTCTTGGGTACGTACGCATACCCAATTATTCATAATAACCTTTTCGACGACGATCCTTGATACCGGTACTCTTCCCTAGAATACACGGCCTACCTACTTAAGAAATGAAATTACAAACGTCCAAAAACCCATCGTTGTGTGATTTTTGTCACATTTCCTTCTAATGTTAATAGATAGCCTATACCAATCATTGTTTAGAGAATATTTAATCTATTAAATAACAAACAGTTGTTTTTATAAGGTTGTTTTTTTTTTAAACTGACACCGATAAGTTTACATTAAAAGTTGTTTACAAATAAAGCAATTAATGAGAAATAATTTTGATTGCCATAGGGGTGCCCACAGGGAGGTTTGATGTCGCAAAATGTTACATCAGAAATTAGTTTGGGGGGGATTCAAGCCAGCGGTTGGTTAAAAGCACATAAAAGATTAATCAGATAATTTTTACGATCTCCTTAATTTATTACTGGGGTAATTATGCAATCAAAATCCCGTTTGACATTTTATCTTGATTAATAAATCATTTTATAATTGCTATAAAATATATAGATACTTTTATGTGGATTTCCACTTTCTGACTCGTATCATGTTTGACAGTGAGAACAACTCCATGCCAACTGCTGTCAAAGGATTATGGTTGGTTTATTAAATATTGTATCTGCAATTTGAGTTTGTTTTTACCTTTCATTATGAACTCATTCTCAAATAGTCTCATTGCCTTGAGGACCTATTGATGGGTTTTTAGGTTTGTTTATTATAATATATTCTTGATTCATAAAAAAACCAGTATTATGATAATGATAATCATTTTGCTATTTTTACTACATGAACAACAACATGAAAGCTTGTGATAATATATTGGCTCTCCCAAATAATTATGCCTGGGTCATTTATTTATTGGAAGAAATTGACATACAGTACTGTGACAATTTAATAAAGGTTTTTGATAGGCTATGTGTTTACGTTAACTTCAAGAACTGAAACACATGATTCTGGATTAATTAAATTGTATTTGTTATTGTCTTTTCTTGAATCTAGAAAGAGCTTCAAACAAATTTTACTAGTCTTAGAATAGATATATAATTATTTTTTTACGCCACACTACACTATTTTGACGAACTTCCCATGCAAGGATTTAGTCCAGAAAACAGCTGTTTGTCCTTAATCGGGGTTTCATTCAGTACTACTGTACTGTAATGAGTTTTGCCGAAAACCAATCAGCTAATTATACTGTATTTGGGTGGCAATGAGTGGTTATAACAAAAACATAACCTCGACTAGTGATTTTTTTTAGTCCTTTAGTTGGTGGTAATATAGGGATTTGAACGGATTTAGTAGTATGGCGTAAACTATCGTACGTCACTCGTCCAAAATGTGTTGGCCGGACTCGTATAAAAAAAAACCACTACTCTACTTCGTCTCGCACGGGATTCAGGACTAGTAACGTAATATACTATTTTACCACACTATGATGTTTTTAACTGTTTGACTTATAGGTACATTAATTGGTGGCTGAAAGCTACGTTTTGCAGGTCATGCCAGCTGTCATCGTCATTCGGGGATCGAGCAGGTTTTTACATCCCTAGGGCCGCAAAATCAGCTGCCCGCTTTAAATACACAATCAGTACTGTATCCATAGCATTGCAATAGAGTTGTTTTATTGTCACCGCTGCCTAGCAACTATTTATTATTATTTTTGCTGATTCCTCAAATTATTTATCCACATGACCTTAAAGTTGTAGTTGTGTTGACTATATCAGTGTGCAGTGCATTATCATTGAGGTGAATTAGTGGTAATAGGGTATAGTGTGGGGTGGTGAATAATAGCGTTCGTACCACGGACTGAAATGGTTTTGCAGTTCTCGATCGTTTTAAGTCCTCGACCTCGTATCGAACTTAAAAACTACCTCGAACCAGCAAAACCTCATTTTGGCCCTAGGCACGAAATATACTATTAAGTTTAGGCCTAGTAATGTTTTTGAGACTGAATATTTTACACTTATTAAAAAGGACCAAACTCAGAAGTGGATTAAAGGGCAATTTAGAAAATATCTCAAACTTGTTGACATAACTTTAAGTACTTTCTCCCCTACAATTTAATATGGTAAAAGAATTGTTTATTTAAAAACCCTGATCCCAAAAAAGTGGTTTTCGAAGTGATGTGTGTGTCTGTCTGTATGTGTGTATGTGTGTATGTATGGTACAGAGCTATAGACCACGCCTGTGGTCCGAGTCCGATTTTGATGAAATTTGGTATTTTAGGTACCAATCCATGGTCTTTCCAGAAGTTTTTTTTCATTTTGGATTTTTAATAGTGATATTCCATAAAACCCTATAAAATAATGGATGAATACAGTTTTCTCAGAATTGGATTTTGATTAAAAATTAACATGTTATACTCTTTGACTATGACAAAAATTGTATAAACCCTCTATGCCGTAAAAATTATGGTTCAAAAGTTATTGCAACTTTTGTGATTTCCCTTTTAAAACCTATTAACTCATGGAAAATCGGATTAAAAAAACTACATGGCCAATTTTGATTCAAATTGTGTGCATGTTAAAAATCCAACTCATTTAAATTAAAACTAAACTAACAAATAGTTTGCTACTAGAGTTTTAAAGGAAAATTGTCCATTTAAATTGGGTTTAAAGTTTGATTCAAACGGGGTAGCGGATTTTTATCCCCCTGGAATTTTACCACCTGGGCAAACGTGACGTCACAAACCAGGGGGTAAAATTCCGGCCGCGAACTTTTGAGTTTCGCGACATCAGCTCGATGGATTAAACGCGGAATTAAACATATATTTTCACAGTTGTGAATTTAATCAGAACACATCAAATTATAAAAACCTAAAGTGTACGGCCCGGATTTTTACCCCCGGAATTTTACCCCCGGAATTTTACCCCCGGATTTTTACCCCCAGATTTTTACCCCCGGAATTTTACCCCCCCGGATTTTTACCCCCGGATTTTTACCCCCTGGCCAGACATGTAAATTAGTGAGAATTATTAATTATCTTCATTCTCTTTTAATTTAGTAGTAAACATTTTATTATTAAGTAGCTATCTTAATTTATTTGTAACATCAAATAATCGAACAGGTTTTTTATTTTTATTTTGAGATTCGAGTATCAGGATTCGATCTTTGAAGCCAACTGTTGATTGATATGACGTATAAACAAACATCAGAATGGTAATTAATTCGAAGATTTCTTTAACGATTTATTATACAACCGTGGTAAAACAATGTTTTTTATTTGTACTGTAACAATAACAAAATATGCCTTATTGTTTCTTTACGAATAAATGTTCACCCAATTATCATTTAAATGAGCTACTCAGTTAATTTTACATACTTATTAACCAACAGTTGGCGCCAAACGCAAATCCCGAACATCAAAATTAAACAGTGAATTCTTTTGACTTAGTTGAGATTACAAAATAAATAAATAAAGATAGGCTACTTAATAATAAAATGTTTACAACTAATTAAAAACAGAAATAAGAAAATCAATCATTCAATTTCTAAAATTGGCCAGGGGGTAAAATTCCGGGGGGTAAAATTCCGGGGGATAAAAATCCGGGGGTCGAATTCCGGGGGTCAAAATCCGGGGGTCAAAATCCGGCCCGTACATCTTCAGTTGTCTAAACGCTAGTTATATGGACAAGGGGGTAAAATTCCGGTTTTTATCGCTAATCTAATTAATCACGCTCTGGCTATTTTCATTAGACTTCCAAATCCGCGGGGGTAAAATTCCGGCCGCGAACAAACTTTTGGCCACTCGGCTTACTACGTCATAGTGATGTCAGCTTTGCCCAGGGGGTAAAATTCCAGGGGGATAAAATTCCGGCGACCCATTCAAACGCTTAAATTCCCATTAATTTAAAGAAGTGTCGGGGGCACCCCTTCCCTCCCCGCATTATAAACATAACAATGGGTTAGCTGCCAGACCTTCCGGCATGGGTTAAACAACGAATTTGGGGGGGGGGATTCTGCGACGTGAGCTTTGGGGGGGATGGGCACCCCTGGTGATGTACAATTGCTAAACAAATATTACTTAATGATGATTGAATTATTTATATCAAATTAAATAAAAACACAGTCACACTATATACAGTGTGTACATTAAGTCTTGAAACACATCTGTATTTTTTTAACCGAAATAGATAGCAATATTCTGTTTGTGGGGTTGATTGTTAACAAAGGTTCCGTAATTTTTTAGATCAAAAATATTTTTTAACCCCCTTACAGGATAAGGGGTAGGGAGTGACTTATTTTTTTCAAATAGCAACCCCTCATTTTGAAGGATTTGTCAAAAGAAACACAATGACGCAAACCCGAGGTGGATATCTTACCCCTAGGCAAAATGGCAGGTAGTCCAAAATTTGATTTACTGTATGTGAAAAAGCACCAATTTCACAAATATGGAAACAAATCTGTATTTTTAAAACCGAAAAAGATAGATATATTTTGTTTGTGGAATTGATTGTTAACATAGGTTCCGCAATTTTTTACATCAACAATATTTTTTTACCCCTTTAACAGGGTAGGGCATGGGGGTGACTTATTATTTTTAAATAACAACCCCTATTGAGCGAGCCCTCATTTTGAAGGGTTTGTCAAAAGAAAAACAATGATGCAAACCCGAGGTAGATATTTCATCCCTAGCCTAAATGGTGGGTATTCCAAAATTTGATTTATGTGAAAAAACACCCATTTTTGAATACCCGCCATTTTGGCTAGGAGTGAGATATTCACCTCGGATTTGCGTCATTGTGTTTCTTTTGACAAACCCTTCAAAATGAGGGGTCACTCAATAGGGGTTCGTTCGGTTGCTATTTGAAAAAAATAAGTCACCCCCTACCACCTACCCTGTTAGGGGGTTAAAAAATATTTTTGATGTACAAAAGTGCGGAATCTTTGTTCACAATTATTGCCACAAACAGAATATTTTTATCTACTTGGGTTTTAAAAATACAGATTTTTTAAAGACTTAATTTACACACTGTATATTAAATATAAAACCACAAACCATTAAATTTCTTTAAGGAACCACAGATCAAAAAATGAGAAAAAATCTATTTCTTACAAGGTAAATTTACAAATATTTAAAACAATTTAAAAAGTGACTAAAACGATGCTACAGTTGTTCACATATTGAGTAACGGTATGTACAAAAGTAAAGTTGATGTTGATTTTATACAAAAGTGGAATTCAATATAATTATAATATACTGTACTTACTTACTATTTATAATTTCAACACCACAAGCACAGCTTGAATTGCAGTACACAATTGGTATTCTTTTACGAGAAGTTGATAGTATCAGCAAACAAAACTCAATGTCAGTGTGTATATGTTCAGGTCGTGCAAGCAAGTCCTGTTGCCTTCTTGATAATTCCAAGTCTTTGAATATTTCTACTTAGATAGTTGAGGAATAACTCAACTAGAAGTTTCCATGTAGTCTTCAATATGTAGGTAAACTCTTCAAATTGTTACAAAGTAAATTACATTTCTGTAATTTTTTTACAAATCTTCTAATTAATTGTTATAACTTAACAGGTTATAAAACATAAATATAAAAATATTTTCTTCATAAAATACAGACCTAGTTTACCATGTTTCATGAATTCACGAAGTATTTATTCAAGTTAGTAACTGTAATATTGTTCATTTCCAGGTATGTAGGGTTTCCCTTATTTTTGGTGTTTGCATTCCTCATAGAAAACTGCAGTCAAGTAAAGTGGCACTTAGGTAAGTTTTTTGTGGTTTTATTCATAGAAGTAAATCATGATTGATTCATTGAAAATTACCCAACCAGGGAGCAAGGCATAAACCCAAAAGGCAGTGTTGAGAAATATTGAGAAATTTACATTTCAGGTACACTTTAGTAACAAGTGTGCCTTTTTAAACAATGGTAAATAAGAAATTAATGAGACGGCAGGCTTAAAAATACAACCTCTCCCAATGATATTAAAGGAAACAAAATTATACTTCTAAAATCTTGAAGAGTGATAAATGGGATGCGGTTCATGATTTCAAGGTACGTATAATAGTTCCAAGTGCATTTATTTTGGGTCAACTACACCATTGGCATATTTTATGTTTTTGTAAGGGAATGGTTAAAAACTTCTTTTGGCAAATTTCCCATACAGGGAATAAGCTATTTCCGTAGATTTCATTGGAAGACTTAGACCCGGGACCAATTTACTTTTTGTTTTGGGTTTCCCAGAGGGCAAAAATACCATCCGTTTAGATTCATATATAAATATATGTGTGCGTTAGTATGATAACTTGAGTAAAATTCATCTGATTTTCATGAAATAACCAGTTCATGAACCAGCATGATCGGAGTATGGAAATGGGATTTGTGAAGGGAAATTGGTTTTTCCCATTTTTGACTCCCTATACATCAACTTTTGCATTTTCTTTTCCAAGTACCTCGTATAGCTTGGTAATAATAATAATTTAGTGTATTGAAGCTATGTTGTACGCCTAATAGTAATGGAAAAATCCCAAAATACTGTAAATTTAAAATTAATATGTTTATGGAGAAAAATAACCTGTTGTAGTTTGCTTGTTTAGGGATATGTATGTTGATAAAATTCGGCAAATTGGTTTATTTCATATTTAGCCATCAACATTTGATAAAAAAAAAAAAACACTTTTATTACCTTCCCTGTAATAGCAAGAGCGCATGAAAACCAATGTTATTTAGATAGAAAAAATTTTTACAATTTTAAGGGAATATTTTAAGGAAAACATCTAACCTCGCAAATGGAAATTCGCTTAGTCTGCAGGTTGGGGTATTTTATTATAATAATAGCCCTACTGTTTGGAGTAAACTGTTCATTCATTAATCTTTGTTGGTGTTTCACTAGCTTGAAGTTCTGATTACATTTTGTTGGAGTTAAAAGTACATTAGAACTATAGTTTGACTAACCGTACATATACTTTGACACAGACTGTGATGACATGACATGGCAATAGCAGCGAACAATAGTGTCATTGACATATTTGCTGGTCAGTGACTAAAGCACACTAATTACTTTTCCAATCGTGCGCTAACCCCTTCTCTAAAAATAGATCATCCTTCCCACCCCTACACCGTCCTAGACACCCCAACCCTCTTTCTAAAATAAACTTCTGTTTTAATACTCCCTATGTTAAGAGGTCCATACTCCCTATAGTTGACATTTCCATAGTTCAACTCCCCTTTTGTCCTCAAAGTGTTACAATCACTATCAACATTTTATTCTTCTTGGACTTAATGGCTTGGAATTAAGGGATCATCCCTATCGATGTCTTACAGAGCCGCAGCCAAATGACTTAGACAGAGGAATCTATGACGAGCCGAGACCTGATGACGGACACATCTGTCTGAGGGAGTGTACAAGAGGGGAGAAATCCAGGATTTGTTACTTCAAGTTTCATCTGGAGGATAATCCTGTGCTTGGGAGGTTGTATTTTCCTATAAAAACTATCTGACTAAGTAGGCAGGTTAAACTTGAACACCAACCGGCTCTGTGTGTCAGAACAAGTTGTTTAGGCCTACTCCTTTAATCTATGGTTGTATTAGCTACAGTAAAAAAATATATCACAATATTCCTCTACTTAGTCACAGGTCTCTGTTAGCACTGCCTCTAAAATGTGACGAGTCAGAAGATATGCTTAAAAAATCAGATAGGATAGTTAAGTAGAGGTACCTAAACTTCTTGAAGATCTTACAAGCACCAATAAGGGTAGAACAACAGGTGGTTTTGACGTATCCGCATGTAATTTCTTGGTACTCAATAATCTGCAGAGATGGTCAAATAACATGGAAGGTTAGATGAGATAACCAAGACTCTATGTCAGTAGGCCTAACTATCTAATTGCCTGTACATTACTTAGAAAAATGTTTCTAATGTCCTATCCTAATATTTAAGTTTTTCTTATGATACCTTATCTCTATTTTTCAAATGTTTGGTGGACTCACACACTCAATAAGGATAAGCAAAAAGTTGCAAAATGCAGTTGAAAGTTGTGTGTTTGAAGTTGAAGGTGCAAGAAGTAAAGGTTATTATATTTGAGGTGCAACTCGACAGCGAGTTCACTCATATCCCTTCAAATTTTACCCAACCCATCCATCATTTACTTTAGGTAGGCCTTTCTCAGCCAGCTCTGCCACAGACAAGCAAACTTCTCATTAGTTGCAGTTGCAGACCTGACATCTACAGTGCTGTATTTGACTGACCACTTAGCCCAGTCAACAGCACTTAAAGCACTGGTCAACCAAAAACGCAAGCTTAGTACAGTAGTTATAATTATGACTCTCTGGTTTCAGAACATGTCAGATGTTAAACTGTACTTGCATACTTGAGTGAATGATTGGTTGTATTAGTCTTGCATTCTATAGAACATAAAGAGTTAATGAGAGGTTCTTTGTGTAACTAGCGGGCGAAGTGGCACTTTGCTGCACATGAGAGAAATGTTTACGCACGAGTGTGGAATGTTTCTTGAGTGCAGCAAAGGCAGTTTGCACTCGTGTTACACGTTATATTTTTCCTACAGTTACTATAAATCATATAAATAATTAGTCTTTCAAAACACTGTACAACACGTTTTTAGATTAGGTTAAATCCAAACATTTAACAAAATGGGAAATGCTGCACCAGCTGATCGTAGTCGTAATATCTTCAAGTCTTACCACCTTATCATCAAGCCTACACAGATTACGTTCATAATAAAAGTACGCTGTTTTGTGTTGTTTGGTTGGAGTACTGATGTGCACTAAAGTAAAAACTGTGCTCCAAAGTAAGGCTTTCTGTACTATAATCTGTGCAAGGAAGCCCACTTTGTCAGGTGACTGTAGGAAAATGTTTTTTTCCAGTGCATGCAAGAATTGCCCTGAGAACAAAACTGACTGTTTGAATCCAGAATGTATAACAGCTGATTCTTACTTACAAAACATCCTTACTGTCAATAGAAGACTGCCAGGACCTTCGATACAGGTAACGATAGATTCATTTAGGTACATTAATTTGACAGAATATATTTTTAATGAAAATCCCCTTAACAATCTTTGCTCTTATTTCTATTGCTGTCTAATTTATACTATATTATAAAATTGAGGTGGTCTTTGTCTGTATGTCTAGGCAGCTGTCACGACTAAAATACTAAATCGATAAAGCTAAAATAAGCACAAAGATGGTACATATACCTACGAACGTCATAGGCCTATTCACTTACCTGAGTTCTTCTCGTGCTACGCCCCTTGGATGTCCAAAGTTTTAGGCTGAGGTTTTCAAAAAGTAAATATTAATTGGTCTCCATGGAAGCGTGAGAAAATTCAGCATTGACATTTAATCTAAACAAGCAGAACTGCTGACATATGACTATAAAGTCATATGGTTGTTAAATATTATTATATGGTTTTTGTAAATAAACTCACTTGTAAACAAACTAACTTGTAGTTCATTAAATGGAATTCTTTATCTAAAGATTTAGTTTTATTTTAAAACAAGAAAAATGGTGCCGAAACAAAGAACCAGAAATAAGAATAAAGAAAGACAATGTTTTCCATTCAGAGAGGTTGATACAGACAACATTGATTATAATAACTAGGGTTGCTTTCAGAGAGGTGAAAGCCAGTTGAGCGGAACAAACGTAATTTGATATTTGTATAAGTAACTAAATGTAAAAAAGTCAATAGATGTACTAATGCTTGTTTTATTGATTAAAATTATAATAACTCAAATTTGTTTTTACTACATCTTGTTATTCAGATACCTCTTCCAGAAGTGCATTATGGTAGTTTTGACCAGGAAAATATTACAGTAGTTGGAATCTGATATTAACATCCAAAAAGTAAAGTATAAAAATGAGAAAGGTAATTTAACATTCAAATGCAACTGTAGCCTACAACAAAAAAACATTGGGCTACATTTTTCACCCTTACACTCGGTTAAAGTATTTAAGTATAAAAAAACAGTAACTATAAAAAAACGAGTATTAAAGTATAACAACAGGGGCCCATTTCATAATAAAGTACAAACTAATATTATTAGTACCTACATCAGCTGATCGCCCAATGCAAATCTTATGGAAATTACAAGTTACAAGTTGTAACTTGTAACTTGTAGTTTATTATGAAATGGGCCCCAGGAGGGGAAATTTGACATTTAAATTCAACCGTGAACCGTGCAACATAAAATGGCTGAAATGTTGGCCTAAACATAAGTAATAAGTAAACATCGCATTCAGCCGATTTAAGTGAAAACAGAATAATATAATAAGTAGGGAAGACATGCCTTAAATATACAATGTAGATAATATAATTAGAAATTAGTAGCCTACTTCTGGACAGGCCTAGACAATTATCCATACCGTGGTTAAAAGTGTACTTCTATAAGCCCAGGTTTACTTATCAACGGTTGTAACTGGACGTATGTATAGTCCGTGGCTTGGCAATCAAATAACAGTATTTGTATAGGATGGGCTACTGTTATCAACATTTGAAATAACTGAATTGTTACCAAATTACTGTTTCACAAAATGCAGATTCCATTTTCAGCCGAGCCATTAAAATGAGGATTTGCCGAACAATTATTAATATTACAGAATAGTATATAATGATATACAACTTTTCACATTCCATAATTATATGTTAGTTTTGCTATGGTCAAAAGGTACAAATCCAAATGTTCTCTTTTCTTTTGGTCAGTATGTAATAATTTGCTAGAATCATTGACTTTATATAAAGTCAAAGCTAGAATACTGTAGATGGTTTGTTAAGTTAAGACCATATGCAAGCATTTTTGAAATCGTTTCCCCGTTTAACCTTAACCAACTATTCCATTCCAAAAGTTAAAAAATTATATGGTGCAACACAAATAAACAACCCGATCGCCTACCTATAACCTACACTATACCTTCCTAATCTAACCTTACTTCAAAACACTTAATGTAGTCACGAATACTCATAAACCCCGACCTACCTCCCCACATGCCTAAATCAGTGTTCAATCTGCGTTTTATCAATAAGTGTAATAACTTACTGTACCGTCGATGTAATTAAACATAATATAACCTATGAGGTATTATCGGATTAAATACCGATTTCGATGCGGTTCGATATATCGCTTATTAAATCCTGATTTCTAACATTGGCTGTTTCTAATCAGCTGGCAACACAAATAGGTTCCCAAGAAAGTAGTCACCGGTCCGTATCCCTCCGCTCCTTGTTTATGCTCCGCGCATTGAGAAAGTAGTTCAGTATATTTTCTCGATTTTCAGTGAATTCCGGGCCTTAAAAAAATGTTTTAACGGCATTTTCTTGTTTATTAAAATCATAGGAATGGTTTAAAATCGTTTAAAAGAAAAGTATAGAAAGTTCAGAAATACCTTATGATTCTCTTGTTTACATTTTTCTTGTAAACAAAAAAACTGTCATAGCTACTTTAGTCCCATAAGCCCAATGTTAAAAATTTTAAATTTTAAGTTCGTTTTAAATTGCATTAGCATTATCTAATTGAAATTTGTTTCTTTACAAACCATCTCATTATTAGTCTAAGTAGTCTTGTTAAGTTTGGCTGAAATGTGTTCAGCCGTTATTGAGTGATGGTGTTATATTGTTTGCATTGAAGTTGATCCCAAAGAGCTTCGCTCGCTTCGCTCGCTCCGCTCAATGATGAGATGAATAATCAAGATTTACCAATGAACATAAAACCACCGAAGTCACTGTTAGTTACCTATGAAATAATTACCTATAATTATCTATAAAAGGCATAGTTCTCGATCCAACAGTTTGATTTGAAATAAACCTAAATCCACCTAATGAAGTAAATGAAGAAAAGAAAAAAATTATGAATCTACCTTTGAATATTTCAAGCAAAATTTTAAAATTTTGAAAATTGAGGTGATTGGATTGTTTATTGGTTCTAGAGGAACATTATCAAAATTTTTGTGAACTTTTGGAAACAATATGATGTGGACAGATCCTTTTTGAAAATTATTATTCATGAAACATTAAGAGGTTCATTGACCATAATGAGAAATCATCTATATGGCAAATATCAAAATTAATCAGTCTTATAGCTGTATAATCCTTCAATATTTTAAGTATAAATTTTTTTTCTGTGTCATTGGCAACCTTATTTTTTAAGGCAGATGTATTTATTTTTATAAATAAACTAGCTGTACCCGCGGGCTTTGCCCCGTTTAACTTCATAAGTGAGCTCGTTCGCATGGCTCAATCACGTCCTGGTTGAAGTTCGTTCGCTACGCTCACTCACCTTTAGGTTGGAGGTTGTTTGCTCCGCTCACTTGCCTTCAGGTTAGCTCGTTCGCTACGCTAACTCACTTCCAGGTTGAAGTTCGTTCGCTACGCTCACTCACCTTTTGGTTGCAAATTAGCTGTTGTCATAAATGTAAAAAAAATAATAGTGCTGCACCCTGTTGGTAATCCTTGTAACTTTAATGCTATTGAACATCATAGAACAGAACCAACTTGTTTAATTGAAACAGCTGTTAAGATTCATTAACTCCTTTTAAATATGAAAAATCATAAGGTGAACATGGGAAACTCCAGAGCCACTGGGGCGGAGCCCGAAGACCCGATCAGAATAAAAACTACTTAGTTTTCCTATTTAATTCCCAAAGAATCAGTGTACCGAATTTCAGCCTCCTAGGTAAATGGGAAGTGGGAGAATTAGTGCAGTGATGAGTGAGTGAGTCAGTCAGTCAGTCAGTCAGTGAGTCAGTGAGGGCTTTGCCTTTTATATATATAGATTCTTTTCTCTCAAAGAAGTGGAATTTATGGCAGAAACAATTTCAGTGGTATACTACTGCTGTCAATTTGAAGAAGAGGACATTAGAGAAACAGATAGCTTCTTTTATGACAGTACTTGGAAGAAGATGGAATTGAACTCTTTGAGTCTTTTGATATTGATGAAATATCTACTAGCTTGGATGATATAATTGCAAAATTTGATTCATATTTTGAAAAGAAATCAAATGTCATATATGAACGGTTTGTCTTGAACAATCTAAATCAGGGTAAAGGAGAAACTTTTAATTATTTCTTAACTAAAGCGTCTTACCAAGCAAATAAATGCTCGTACAGAACAATGAAGGATAGCTTATTACGAGACAGGCTGGTTTTCGGAATCAATCATGACAACACTCGCCAAAAACTGTTTCATGAAAAAAATTTGACGCTTGAAAAGACAATAAACATCTGTAAGACTTCTGAAGAAGTAGAATTTCAGCTATCTACAATGTCTGAAAAGAAATGCTGCAACGTTTATGCAGTTTAAGGAAAAGAAACTTTAGGTGAGAAGCAAGAGGAAAAAACATTAAGCAAAAAAACAAGAGGATAATACCTTCACTTGTAGTCGCTGCGGATATTGCCATGGCCCTCAAGCTTGTCCTGCTTACCAAAAGAAGTGCTCTAACTGTGGTATCCATGGCCACTTCTCTAAGGTATGCCGCTCGGGGAGCGAGCTGGCGTAGTGGTTAGAGCGCGGGACTTCAGTCCCTGAGGTCCCGGGTTCGATCCCCGCCAAGTCACCAATGGCATTAAATAGTAGTTTCGAAATTAATGGTTTTAAGATTAAACATTTGATTTCATACACAAATAAGAAGCTACCGGTGCTTGGTGAATGTACTGCAACTGTAGAAACAATTAACAAACAACGACAAAAAGTCAACTTCATTGTAGTCGATGGAAATTATCCAGCGATTTTAGGTCGAGATTCATGTCACTTAAAATCTATCCAGCTAGGCGAATTCCTTTTGCATTAAGAGAACAAGTAAAGCGTGAGCTTGATTACATGGTAGAGTTAGGTGTTATTAAGCCTGTAACTGAACCTACTCCTGTAGTATCCCCCATGGTTGTTGTACACCAAAAAGACAAAGTCCGAATCTGCTTAGATCCAACCGATTTGAACAAAAATATTAAACGTCGCCATCACCCACTTCAAACTTTAGAAGAAATAGCATTCAGGTTAAA